GTAAAGTTCTTACTATAATTTTACTTATTTCACGATTAACAGTTTTAGACAGGCCACTAAATTTCTGAGGCATAAAATATATGAATTACTAACAGAATACTTATTTTATTGAAGTTTATGGAAAAGAATTATCATTTTAGTATATGATTTAATAGTGTGAAATTTTTCCATATCATGAATTAAAAGTCAGTCGGAACGAAGAATATTCTTTTCAATAATTTCTCTTCAGGTTCTTACAATTACCAACTATAATATATATACATTATAAACTATTTAAATTAATCCCGGCGTGTTAAGAAAATCAAAACAAGGTTTTTCTGAACGTTTCGATGTGTAAGCCACAGCTTCTTCAGCAGATTTATCCTTGGCGCTCAAATTATTCCAGGAAGTTCGTAACACCTACGGCCTGGAAACCTATAATATTTATAGTCGTTACAATAATGGCCAGTTATGCGGTGGATACATTTTTAACGTAGAATAACAGATTCGTTATGGGGTGTCAAGATAAATAGTTGTATTTGTGTGACAAACGTGCTAGGCTGAAATCGATCACAAAATATTATAAAATGGGAGACAATGGTGGTGGTTAGTCATAACAGGTTTGTAGAGTGTGGGGTAGGAAAATTGACAAGTCAGTTCAAGGTTATAAAAGGTGTCACGTGAGTGGCTAGTACAAAGTGGTCTGTATTAAAGAGAAGATAGTGAGAGGTTCATAATGAAATAACGAATGCGTGAAATGAAACAGGTGGAGGCATATATTGAGAAAAGAGATAATATCACTAATAATAATTCAGGATGGTCTAAATAGGAAATTCGATAGTATTGAGAGAATGTTTCCATAACGGGCATAAATTATGACGAATAATAATGATTGTAATAATAAGCAAAGGAAGAAAACCAAGAGGGTTAAGGGGAAGACGCACTCTTGGTGAGAAGAAGAATTATCAATCCAAGTTTTGCCACGGTAGGAACAGCGTCTGGAAGTGTTGTTTTGGATACAAAGTTCCGGTTTAGTCGATCTTATTGCAACAACTTCAGCTATGCCTAGGAGACGTAGGCGAACTGTACATGATAACGACTTCGGAATTCGGTATATAACCCTGAAAGCTGTGTCGACATCGATATGATGTCCAGTATCGACCAAGTGTGATAGGATCGAGCTTTATATGGACTTAATTTCCCTCCTGCTGAACCAAGCTGGTAAATGTTCTCGAACCCGTAGACGAACCTGCCTAATCGTGCTCCCTATATAACTTGAACCACAGGAACAGTTGAAATGGTATATGCAAAATGTTCTTAGTCGTATTTATTTGAATAACTGTCTAGTTAAAAGAGTATACTGCAGTTCCTAGTGCCATCAGATGATGTTTTCAACCAAAACTGTTTTCCAGGAAGTGAATACTGGTCCTTACATTTTGCACTAAATTACATTTTAAGGATTTATGAAAATATTACACAGAATGGAAGAATTCGATACGCATTTTGATTTTTGATGCTAACGTCATAAAACTTACAAATTAAAATTCGCTCTTGATTGAAGAACTTACTTAATGAAATCTTCATTGAAACGTCTTAGCACAAACACTGATAATTTAAATATTATTTAGAAATCCCTTCAGGTGTAATTCAAAGATGACATTCAAAAGGTTATCTTAGTTGGTTAAATCATTCAGAGAAATCAGCACCACTGGGTAGTCGAGTTGCGTTGTTCCTAACTCTGACGAGGCTCTGATTTTGTGTCCATTACAGTAACTGATTGTTGTCTTTCGAAATAATCCATTTGACTAGCTTTCATTCTTTTTTTTCTTGAACTAATCGCAGTCCGAAGTACATTTGACTGTTTATCTCTTTATAAAATAACAGCGTAATTACGTCTAAGTCATCTATGATCTTGGTTTTAGCTATTCTACGGAAGTATTTAAAGGTCTCTCCTTAGCCGCCATAAGTATAATTAATACGTTTCAGACAACATTATATAAAGTAAATTGAGGTATTACGATAGAACCTCAATTTAGTGTTAAGATACACTACCAAGATGCATTTGACGCTCCAAGGTGTTTCTTTGAACTGTTCATAATAACTAGTGTTGTACACTGTTTCAAAGCCTGACATAGTCTGTGCACGAAAATAGGTTGCTAAGCATTACACCTAGAAATCCAGTTGATATTTAATTTGCTTTTAAACAGACTTTTAGAAAGAAATTATTTCATTTAGTATATATTTGTATTTGTGTTCAAGCAGCTTAAGCTCTCTTCAGCATTACGGAAGATTTGATTTGACCCTAGTTAAAATTGACAGTTATTTTATATATGGATATTTCTCTACGTCAATATAAATAAAGTTGGAAAACGTCAACGAAATCAACAAACATGTATTAGTCTAATATCGGAACTAGCATATCAAAATGGCATATTTCTTGTTGATGAGTTGAAACATATTGAAAGGGAAATGTGTATTTATTCCTGTGATTTCATAGTATGATGAATCAGTGGGCATGTATATTACTTCCAGTATTTGTATATGATGGCTGAAAAGAAATACTTTAGTGTAAACAGTCTACCCTACTCAGTTTAATGAGAGCGATAATTAGCTGTAATCTACTTTATAACACATTGACTTAAGACATAATAATGTTTAAATGTTTTCAGTAAAGTGTTATTGCTCTAGTTATGTGCGTCAGTGGCACAGTGGTTAGGACTCTCGCCGACCATGCACATTGTCCGGGGTTCGATCCCCTGCCGACGTAAACCAGATTACAATGGTCAGCCTGCAATATTTGGGCTACCAATATGGCATGCTGAGAATTCCATACTTGGATCGAAAATACGGTGTGGAATCAAGGCGTTATCAAAAATAAAATAAAATAATATGCATTTAGGGAAATTTTACTTTCTTGAGATTTATGGTGAAATAATCCAACAGAAAGATCATCTAATCTTGCGATATACATATGTGTAATGTCTGAATACTCAAAGACTAGCTTTGAAGAAGGGATCTTTCTTGTATAGTAACTTACGTCTCTAGATAGCAACTTTTAATTTTTGGGGCGTACAATACGGCAAATATATAATTAGAAGTATAAAAATAAAACCATCTCGAACCCTATATGATATCCTCTGAAACTGCTGCTTTCAATAAATTATATAAAGCATGTTATAATGTACACCACAATTAGATCAAAATGAGAACAAATTAATGCAAATTTTACACAAAGTTCAGTGCTCAGTTCAGTCTTGATATTTACTTTGAAACATTCAGTCTGTAGATAACAGATTATTTTGTAAGTTGCTAGTTGTAGTTAAGGTAGACTTGAATTAACCGCACTTACTAAAGACTTCTCCTCTTAATACTCTAATCAGTACTCTGCTTAACGTGTAAGTACCGACTAAAGAACTCGAAGTAAAAAGGCTTGTGACCTGATAATGTGCCCTGATAAGAACTGTAATTTTTACCACAGTTGAAATGTCTAATTTAATAAATAAGAATATCGTGCAACTTATCTGAAGTGATGTGTTGCTTGTAGGCAGCACAGAGAGGGAGCATGCAAACGTAATCGCGTCCAGACAAAGAGTATGGCGTAGCGCCCATATTACAAGTACACATTCAAACAAAAACTGAAAAAAATGAAGGTTAACTACAACTTCATGAAGGCGTAACTGGATTTGAACAAGCCTTTTCTGATATTTACATATATATATTATAGAACACAGTTTTCAGGCAGTGTACGTCTTATGAATCGATACTAGGTGAATGAAGGTAACCACCAGCAGGCCTAAGACCTGTATTTGTACTTGCTCGCACTCGTCAGCAGGGCTTTCTGCAATCTTGAAGGACCCTGTATTACCTCTGAGACTCGACGCTGCAGTCAAAGTTACCATTGAGTTATTTGGGCTCACAAATGACCACACATAGGACCGTAATGGATACATTTATTGGTAACAATATCGCAGTGTTAGCTGGTTGAAAGGAATCGGTTTCCAGAAGGCTGTATATGTAAATAAGCGGCACATTGTCAGTAGGCTTCGTCTTCCACAGTGTCAGATAAGCGTATTCAAAAACAGATGAATATCTGTATCAGCATATTTATCTACTTCCAGTCTAACCCGTCTCTTGCAAATAGTAAGTCGTAAAATAAACGTATATGAACTCAACACATAGATTTGGAGAAAATACAAAGGTTTTAACGAATATTCATTGGAAAAAGTTTGGCCTTGGAATGCAATTTTACTAATCGATGTGTTACAATCAGTATGCGTTTGACGTGAAGCCGATATATACTTTCATTAATAGATGAGTGTTGCTGAAATGTCAGTCTCTAGATGGAAATTCACCAGACTGCACTTTATCAACCGATACACTATTTGGAGAAATCTAGACATGTCAAAACCATTGGAGAGTTGTTGTCTGTAGTTATATTCATCAGGAATGTTAAGTATCTTCACTATCATTTGACTGGACTGTAAACTTATTGGTCATTGTGAAGGTATTTCATTGAAACTTTCATAAGTTTACCTGCTGACAGGAACATACATGTTTAACTCAGAATAGTGAGACATCAAAGTCCTTTTTGATAGATACTCTGACAAGGTGCAGAGTCTTCTAACGATTACTTTTGATATTTTGCTCTGTGCACTGGAGTTTATTTAGTGAATGAGTTGATTTTCTCGGGTAGATTCGCTAGACTGAAGCCATTTTCTCTGAACTGCATCTTTTAAATGAAAACTACTTCCATCATTCATATGAACTGTGATCAAGATTTGACCGGATAGTTGCAAAATAATTAAGCGCTGAGTGAGAAGTAGACATTTATAAAATTATATTTGTAAAATCTCAGCGAAAGCGAATCGGACCAGATTGCCGAACGAAACGTTGGGATTAATCATTTCAATTTCGCTGAGATTTTACAAATATAATCTTACAGATGTCTGCTTCCATCATTGTTTGACACGATTTAATCCCAAGAAATGTAACTTATTCCTACTTTTTTCATTTTCTTGTAGCAATCCTGGAAGATACTTATGTGACAGGATGGAACAGCTGGACAAAAAATGGAGATAAATATGTGGGAGTAAGTGCAGTGTTAGTGTTTCCAGTTGTTCTTACAAATAAAGGTATTATAACTTGATTAAATTTATTGAGAGGAGGTACTATTTTTAATGCAGTAGTATAATTAATTTGAACTCGAATGAATACTAACCTGTTTCACGTGATATAATGATATTTTGCTTCCATCCAAAACTGCGAAATCATTTATTTCAAAACAGTTAAATTTAAATGTGTGAGAGAATTGGATATACTATTGTATGGACATATGTATATATGTACTACTTTGATTTCCAGGTGGAACATGGGGCATCAAGCTTTAGCTTTGAAATTTCAATGGCAGCGGTGTTATTTTTGTTCGGTAGGGTTGCTAGTCGCCCGTACAACTTCTCCTCTTTACCGGCCTTACTGCCACCTAAGGGAGGTTTAGGAGTATGTCGGCTAAGAGGATCGAGCGTTAGTCCATTTGCGTGGGCGGCGAGCATTCTAACACTATACCACCAACACTGAATTACTGATGTGAATAGTTGGATAACCCTCACATCAATCAGTAGAACTTATGAGCTAGATAGAAGAGATCTAAACACTGGACGTCACTTTATCCTATTTGTTACCGGGGTTATTCTGAAAGGACGATTCAGAACAAACCAACTTACTGCCACCAAGGTACGCGAGCGCACTAGTAGTACTTGGAATCAAATTCTCATTTTGCAAAGTGAAAATACCCGACTGTTTCTTATGTAAACAAAAGACATTCAAGTCAGCATATGTGATCCACTTGATAACATAATTGGAAAGCAAGAAGACAAGCATCGCTGTATGATTTCATTTATTAGTAATTGATAGATGTGAGTATACAGATATCAGTCGCAATAGGATGTTTTGAAATGTTTCATTTCTTTCAATTGAATGTAACAATATAGCGCTGATGTGGTTGGCCATAAACAGACGAAACAGCTCCCAGGTATTTAAATCACTTCAACCTAGCTAGCAAGTACTACAGTTTGATGTGACTAATCATATGTGTTAGTCAGTAGTATGTAGTGTTGTACAATTATGCTTGCTTTCTTGACTGCCATTTATGGTATCAAGCAGTTCATGTACTGTGATCTGAAAACTTTTGGTTTTCAAATGGAGACTGTGGTGAAATTTCTTTTAAAACTGTATAAATTGAAAATTGTTAATTTGTTTCATCTCATTATTTCACAGAAATATATTCTATTTATGAATGTTATAATCGACGAAAGTATTATTCACTCATTTCTCTTGTCTACTTAATAAACGTACAATGGTTAGTACACTGGAATTGTTTTTCTATGTAGTCAAAGTATTATTACAGTCAGGATAAAGCTTATCGGACTGGAAACTTACAAATTAATTTTCTATAACAGTTAAACAGTATAGTTTCAATCGAAGTGGCACGCGTAAATGAGTTACCACAAAAAGGATTTGGGACGTATTTTACTCCAGGGTTTGCCTGTTGTCTAATCCGATCAACTTATAATCAATTTTACTGTATGTTGGAGTGAAACTGACTTCAGTAATTACTATTATTTATTAAGGCATGTGGATTATAAGTATTTTATGTGAAGCATTCAGGAGGTTGTTGTTATTTTCTTTATTTTTCAAGGGTACCTGGTATTGTACGCACTGAAATATGCGGTAATGCAAAAATCGCCTTCATTTGAATTAGTTTCGTAAAAATCTTATAAATACCCGTGAATCATTTCAAATGGGATTTTCACGAACATTTTCCGTAGAAATTTTATTATTTATATATTTAATCAAAGAGATAATTAGAATTACTGTAGCTTGAATGCAAATGACTATAGTTCATGTTTCGTAAACATAAACACACGCTTGCGGTATAATCAGTGCACGTGAAATTCAAAATAATGATTTCGTAAATTGTTACCGTATGCAAAAAAAGGTGGCTCTCGTGGTTCATTTGCCTAGTGGATAGCTCTTTAGGGTTTGAAACGATGGATATCCAGTTTGAGTCTGAGTAAGGACATCACATTCTGAGATAAAGGTAGATTTTATCGTAAGCCACTTTTAAACAAATAGAACCTTCCTGGGATCCGATGAGTGACATGACTGTACCATTTATACATATCATATCTAAGCAGATTCCAGAATAACTGATTCATATGAAAGCAAAACGACATTTTACAGTGTTGAATATAAGAATAGAACTTGGGCACTGTAGCAGAGTGTAACTCCATTGTGGACAAAATTTATTTTGATAAAGTCTCACAGTGTTGTGCAGTAATATTCTTAATAAAGCAGGAATTATGTTGGCATTTAAACTCACAAACTCAATCAGCTACAGGCTCTGTAGTTGGTTAAAGGACGCTGGTGACCCAATTAGACAAAGTAATATAATTTACGAAATACCTTGCAATGACTGTGAAGTCAACTACAGAGGTCAAACTAGTAGATCGGGGGTAGTCAGACTGTCAGAACATAAGAATTTAGCTAAGGTTAGAATGATTGATACCACGAAAACAAGTAATTCAGAAAAAAAGTCAAGCTTTTGCACTTTATGCATTAACACACAACCACACAATAGGGTGGAAGAGGGTTAAAATTCTAGAAAGTGATATAGGTAGGTGGAAAGGGAGGTTGATTACTGAATCTTTGTTCATTGAATCTACTCCCAACACATGCAATATGAATGACTCAGTACCAATACCAGAGATGTGAAAAATAACGGAATTATATAAACGAAGTTAAAAAAGTTGTATGAGTAACTTGATATGATTATGAACAATAAATTGTGCCGGAAACTTCATTAGTATATATCACTGTATAACAGAGTGAGACTTAATCAGAATGAATTTTATCCATAATGGAATGAAAAAAACTGGTATGTTATCACGTGACACACTAATATGATAATAATGATTTGCTTCATTCCAAAACAGTACTTGTGATACAGCGTGGAATTGGCAGCATTCGGTTTAATATTACATCTAATTTACTTAACGACAAATAAAAATTACAGGGTTTAGGTAACTAAAATTCATAATAGCTACTTTTTGGCATAAGCAGTACCAAAAGTCGAAAATGTAAAAAATAGGATAAAATCTTAATAAGAATACAAATAAATAGAATGATAAGATAATTGCAATAGTGTATCAGTAAATTACAAACAGAAGACGAAAGAGTCATTTATTTTGCTAATTATGTAGTACGTAATATGTTTCCCTGCCAACGCTTCCTTTATCACATAGAACGCAGGCCAAATAGGATGTCTTCAGTTACGTACTTAGTTGTGCGAACATTTATTCTTTTATAGCGACATCTAGTCTCACCTAATGAGATGCAAGGGAAGGGTTATAAATAAAGAGGATGCTAAGAGTCAGACAATATGCATTTAGTCCATTTCTCGCATGAGTTCAGATGTCTGTCGAATACAATATTAACGAGATAATTTAGTGGCACACTACTTGCCCAACTGACAGTCTTTAATATCCTTCGCAATATGACGTAGTCCTTTCTGAGAAGCACATGAAAGACTACAGGGGAGCAACAAAGAACAAATAGTGAGACACATGAACTAATAAAGTGTAAAAGTAGAGGCTGAGTGATACCTGATTGAATTAACATCTTAATGTAGAAGGATAGTCGGAACATTTTCTTAGAAATCGGAAGAATATGGAATGACAAATAAGGGTTAGAGGAAAGAGCGATTCCAAAGTGTTTTAATCCTTGATTTCGTTTAAATTTCAGAGCTAATGCACATAACTAGAGCTTGAGCTAGAAAAGACCTGGATGCCGACCGTTAACTGGTTGCAAGAACAAATCTACTCATTGAAGAAATCTTCTGACACGTTTAATTGTGTCTTACCTCCACAGTTTTCGAACTCTCAACAAAGATATGTTAATAAACAGAGGGAATCGCGATAGAATCACCAATACCAACAGTCGTGGCAGATATATATCTGTTGACAGTCGGGAACGCATAACCTTTGAATAATTTAATCCTACTCAACAGGCATGGTAAAGATAACTGCTTAACACTTTTCCTGAATTGAAAATAGAACAGAGAGACTAAGCAGTGTGTGAAGTTAAGCTTCTTTGTAATGAACAGGAAGAATTAGCTATATCACGTTGTAGAAATAAAACGAAAAGATATCAGCTCATTTACTACTATACATGAAAGAAACCCATAATACCATAAAAGACATAATAAGCTGAGGTCATATCGGGCTTAGTTAAATGTCTAAGTAACTGAGCAATTTCTTCAGGTAAAGAGAAGAAAAATTCCTAGGTTTTCCAATGGTTGTCTAACCAATGTCAGCTCATGATGAAATCCTGTAACTAATCAATCAAATCTTAACAAATCAACACTGGAAAAACCATTATCAAAAAGCTGTCATGAAGAATCTATTCAAAAGTCTCCAAGAACGCGTGAAGTAAGGAGAAGTATATACGAAGATAATCATCATCGTAAACGCTTGGTGGAATTTAAGGTTTCAAAATGTTGACATATACTGAAGAAACATCCAAACGCCTACGTGAGGATTTTATAGGGTGAAGATTAAGTGAAAGTCAAACTCACAAACTCATTTAGGCTCATACTCACCATTAAACTCTTTAACTTTGAAAATATCATGCAATGAGGTCAAGCATCTAAGTCAGGCCAGTCAAATAGCGTCAGTGCAGTGGTCAGAACATAGAAACATTTCAGAAAGTATCCATAACCATGAGTACATTAACACTTAATGTCACAACAGAATGAGGCAGAGCCGAAGTGCTTTAAAAACAGAGGGACACATTGATTGCTGATTCCATTTTCATCTAATCAGCACCTATAGTGTAGAATAGGAAGAATGCAACAACAATATGGGAAACATGGCGAGTATTGTAACCAATCAAATCGAAAGAAGGTGGAAAAGTTAGAACCATATAGGTAAAATCCTGAAGTTGCATGACTGTTTCATATGCAAATGTGTAATAATTTCTGTTGGAAAAATCATAAGTTAAAATAAATAATATCTTATCATCGGAAATTTACTTTTATTGGTTTTGTTGATAAAATATGCTTATTTATTTTAGTGGCGGTATCAAAGTCTTGCTGGAACAGGTCAAATTGTTTATGGTGTATGCGAGAAAACGAATTCATTTCTACGTGATCAAGGAATAAATAACCAAAGTATTCATTCTGATAAATCACCAATTTCACAAGCTGAGAATATTCCATCTGAATTTTGGTTATTTAGTCCATTGTATAAAACGGATACAATTCTCAGTGTTCATTTAGAGATTACTTATCAGATGAAAAGTTGTTTACAACTGGGATTTACACATCCGTCGATTGACTGTAGAGAACATTTGGATATTTTAGTCTATCATAGTGATGTCCAGTCGCCATCCACGACACCGAATGTAAGTTAGCTGAGTACATTATGCTGTATTGAACATATTCAAATTTGTTTTGCAAAGTAATGTAGTTTTAATCTTTTACCTTAAAATTACGGTGTATATTCTACATAGAAAGATTTTTGCATGAGTTTATTGGTCACCCTAACAACTAATGGCTTTTCAGGTATTTAGATATTAAATTGTGAGTTAGAAAATTATTTTGGCGTATTTACTTAGACAATTTTAGAGTTCCTGGTAGCCTGAAGCAGTGTACGTCAATTGGTTCTCATATCTAAGCAGTAGGTTATAAGTCAGACGTATTCATATGCATTATCATGATTTTACGCTGGTATATGTAACCGTTTCTTTTGTTTTACACGTGTCTCAGTGGCACTTAATCAAAATTTTCGCATGCAATACAATCGTCCAATTGTTTGACTAGACAGGCGTCAGACTCATAAACACAACGATAGCTCCAAAGTTGATTCACTCACCTGTGCAGACTTCACTTTTAATATATATATATATACATACATATATATATATATATATGGTATTAAAGCAATTAATGCATCTGTTGATAATGATAATTTATCTGTTGAAATCTAATTTGTATACCTGGTTACATAATCCGTCATTATTATGTTATGAGACACTACGCATCATGAATAAATCTAGTCTCCTACTTTTCATATTTCTAAATCAGTTGTATGTTGCTCTGAAAATCGCTATTTCTAGTAATTTTACACTCCCGTATCACTCACCATCAATTCTGGAGTGCATTATTTATTTGTATGAAGTCAGTAGATTAGTTTATCAGCATTTTCTCACTGAAGTCAACTAAACAGTGAAGTAGTTTTTGTTTAAATAGTCAATGCAAAATGCAACGCATGATTAATATTCCTAGAGAGATTTTGTTACTAAATGACACCAGCTGGAGAACTGATGAATTCACTTCAGTGTGATGATGTGCATATTTTGCTACATAACTTCCAGATGAAGAAAGATATTAAAACAAAGTCGGAGTTCAAATGCTGAAAAGGCCTGAAGGCATTACTGATCTTGGAACGCCTAGTCAGAGCAAGACAATGAAATCTAGTCCGCAACACTATATTCATAAAACAATCTGCTGAAGGAAGTGTAATGATATGAAACAGCACATCTAGCCAGTTTTAGGTTAGATAAAGATTGAAGTTATGCTTAGGACAGAGATAGGTTAGGATAAAGTCAGCCTATTCAGGGTGATCTTAAGGCTGGTTAGGAATGGATTACACTTAGGTTAAGGAAGGATGAGGTTTAGGGTCAGTTTGAGGGTCCAAATATACTTTTTCACGCAGTTGCTCATTCCGAGGTCACTGGTGCTTCCGCGGTTTTTATGTGCGTAAAATCTAAAGTACTAACATTAATATAAATTACCGATTAACTTTATAATGAAACTTACCTTAGTGATGATATGACGATTTAGTCGAGGCTCTCTCATAGCTAAATGCACAACATAGACAAACTACTGATTGGTGCATATGAGTAGTTGTGTACCACTTAGATAAACCATTAGTACTTGCCAGCCAAACTGGGATGGTCTAAACACCGGATGGTCATTTCGCATATTTGTCGCCAGCTCATCAGCCGCGGATCGGATTTCACTCGGCTCGAAGCTTCAAATCTGTTCAAACCCTATGACGTCTGGCTGACTACTTGGGTGGACTGGGAATTCGAAAAGACAAGTTTGCAGTTTACACACTTCGAAGTGGGATTTCCCCACAATACCCTTTGAAAACCGAAATCATTCGGATGAAAACATGTGACCTGCTTGATGATATAAATGGTAGTCAAGAAAGTAGGCATAACTGTATTATTTTACATATCACTGATTCCCTGATTTGAGTCACTGCATACCACTCACCCCAACCAGTGTCCTTGAAAACCTGTAGTGGAATTCTATCTCTAAATTTACAAATTGTGAATATGATTTCTCAAGGCTACTCACCAGTGTCCAAAATATCAAATAAGGCCAAATAATTATAGTTATTTATTCCTTCTTTTTTCCCATCTTTTCTAATTATTAATCTACAAAAGCATATTAAAGTCAGAAGAGGTTTGAGAGATATTTTTGCTCGAAATATTGACTAAAAAGTCATAAATAATGATTTAAAGAACAAAATGTAAAAGAATACATTGATGGTTGATGAAGCTACACAAATCAACGATGTATGCAAATGTGAACATGGTCGTTAAATGATCTTTTGCCTCTGATGTGTTGTTTATTGTTAAAAGTATTACATGCTATTTGTGTATGAAAATGAACTGTAAAACAAATAGTAGCCCAGGGAAATATTTAACACGGAATATTTTGAAACATACGTTTTTAAAAACGTATACTTGTAAAGGCCTACAAGCTTAATTTGCTTTTCTTTTTCTAGTAGTATCCTTTAGTTGCTGTGATGTACGAAAGTAATTCATCATTTAATGAAAATAATAAAATTCTGTTTTATTTAGCTAAAAACATCTTCCATATTCTGTATTACAAGTTATAAAGTGATAAATTTTAACCTGGGTTTCTATTATTGTTGTCCCTTTGGGTTCCGAGTAGAAAATAGGGCTTCAGCAATACATCTCCACTGTGTCCTCTTTGGCTGACCCCTCCGGTTGCACATAGTCTCTGATCTCCTCACACAACCTCCGTCATATCACCCTCGGACACCACACTCGTCGTTTCCCATTTAGGTTCCACTCGAGCAATGTCATGGAGTGCAATTTGATTCAATAGTCTACTCAGAGTCTCATCAGTCCATCTCCATTTTCTTCTGCATATTTGTTGCTCAATAGTTTCTTGGCTTGTTTTTTCCCGTAGTTTCTTATTTCTAATTGTTTCTGGCCATTTGACCTTCAACATGGAGCCAGTGAAGTTAGCTGATGATAAAATTCTGCAGCTGGCTGTTGGAAATGGTTTTTGTGTCCCACCAAGTTTCTGACCCATATAAAAGAAATGAAAATCCAGATTTTATTGTTAAAGCTGAGTACAGACGATTTTCAGATTGATTTCATAGTGATGAAAGTATCCCCTGCATTGCCCATCTTGGATGGTTTTGACATCACCATCCAAGCCGACTGTCTGTGGTTTAAACGATGCTCCCTAGAAAAGTGATGGAAGCAACCTCTTTCAAATTTCTCCAGTTGATAGTGATCGGTGCTTGCTTCTGTTGGTTGGTTATCTTCAGCACCTCCTTTCGTCTCTATGCCCACGTGATTACCTACCTATCTTTACTGTTTCTTCTGCCATTTTTTTGTTTTTCACATGCAATTCTACGAGATTGTATGACATCAGACATAAATAATTTGCAAAATTCATATCTTTTAGAATCCACCACAATTAGGATATCATCGGTGATAAAAGGCGACCTTGTCTTACTCCGTAATTAACTTCATACTCCTCGTTGTGGTCAACCCAAGTTGATCAAACATTTTTATATTTTCTAGGTTCTACCGTTATGTTGTTTCATTTCTTGTTGGTCGAATAAGAATATGAGGGATTTAGTGTGCTCAAGAGGTTATTCAATTATTAATACTGTATCAGTGAGTGCTGTATCGAATAAACTTAATTAATATGGAATTATACTCTTTACACAAGTGTAACGCAATCATTTGGTTGGAATCCGCCATCCTGTGTTATCTAGCACCTGGAAACACGCTGTTTGAATGGTAATGTGGTCAATATGATATATAATGATTCATTGTTCAACACTGGATAATGCTTATTTGAGACGAAACCAATTCTCAATATTTCCTCACTTTACTTCGGTTATACCGTCAATACGATTGTGTGATGAAAAGAACTCTGTGCGTCGGCGGCACAGTGGTTAGGACTCTCGCCGACCATGCACATGGTCCGGGGTTCGACCCCCTGTCGACGCACACCCTATTTCTATGGTCGGCCTGCAAAATTTGGGCTGCCGATATCCATGCTGAAATTTCCATACTTGTACTGAAAATACGGTGTGGCATCAAGCTGTAATCAAAATAAAAGAAAAAAATAATTCAACCTCTACTGAACTTCTAAATGAATAATTTTCTTTGCTTTAAAGTTGTATTTAATGTGTATTAATGTTTAACTTAACATAGTTCGAAAGTAAAACTAGACTCTAGTTCTGTACGTGCTTAAAATGAATTATTCAATAAAAACAGTTCCCTATAAATTAGATTATACATTTGTATATACGATAAATAAGGTGACCTGTTAAGATAGATTATAAACACATTTAGTAAAGTCCTTTTTTTCCCTTATATGATATTTGAAGCAATAATGTATATGAAGAAAGCAAAGTAGTTATGTAAAATTAAGCTGAAACCTTAAAGTGTCTCATATACAAACAAACTGCTTGAACAGTTGACCAAAAACAGGACATCAGATTCTGGATTTTGTTTTTCACACACACATATTCATTCACTTTTAATGTTTCGCATGTAAACATGCATATTAAACTGCGAAACAAGCGAAGGGTGCATTATTTACCTGACATATTAATTAAACAATGCGGGGTCCTGAGATAAAACAAAATCACTTATTCCATTTCTTGTCAAGCTAGGTTTAAAAGCGTACCTTAATCTTATTGTTCAAAGTTTTCGGAAAAATGTCATTCTTGTCTGCAGGCAAACTATGTGGTATGCTAAAGTATAATTCCCCTTGTGAAAACTGAATACAAATATGGAAAGGTAGTTTTCTTTATATCGTCACTATCCTAAGTATTTACTGTTTTGGAGAAAACTCCTAGGCGAAATGTTTTCAGCGACTTTCTCTCTGCTACTTGTCAACTATTGCAAATGAAAGGTTTAAACATAAGTAACGAAGGTGAAAGACAACTGGATTTTCCTCTGACAGAATAAAAGATTTTTAAAAAATTATTGAGATAAAACTTATATTTTATTTATTTTAGTAAACTCGAATACCGTTAGATCGCAATTAATCTTTGAACGTGGACACTCTCTAGGAATGACATTAAAGTTTTACGGTGTTGTCTGCTTAACGTTTTAACATTCTCAGAGCAAAGAATAAAGATTGATTCTTTGCACAGTAATGAGGAGACATTTCGGCTGACAGTTAGAATGAAAATCGTTTAACATTTACTGATGCTTCATATTTGATTTTGGACATTTTCACTCCAGATTTGACCACATCTTTAACAACAAAGTCGATCTTTAAAACTAAAATTCGCCTTGAAGAGAAATTTAATCAGTGCATAACGAGAGACACTATAGTGAAAACTGAATGTAGTCAAAGAAATATGAATCACCTAGCAATATATTGGATGCAGATTATAATTGACTTATAATACGTATCCAAAGCAAACCAATTTATATCCCAAGTTATTTTAGATCTGAAATGATGTCTGCGTAAAAATGTCGTTGAAAACCTTGATTGTACATCAGACAACACTGTCATTAAAATTGCCTTAAAGCATGGATGACACTTTTCTCATCTCCTTGTATTTCAAGTGGACTATAAGGCTTCAGGCTTTATACTTTGAAGGTGCAGTAGCGATAGTGTTGTTTCTTTGAGGTGGTGGACATGCTGGTTTCGCTTACATTATTCCTCCTCAGAGAGCTTACTACCAGCCAGTAAACTAGATGATGTTTCGAAGTACCTCGGTTAGGAATCGAACCCGAACTACATGAGTGGTTCACGAGCATTCTGCCATTGAGCAGCTAACTCACTCAAGGATCACTGATTTTAACATTTTTTTTCTCTCTTTTTGTGGATTTCAGGATTATTCACTGGCTCATATGTTATCATTTCAACAAGGTGAACCGCATAAAAATGAACTTATCATTAGCAGTTCATTAAAACGGGCGACAATTCAAATTCGTCCAAAGATGAAATGGTTACAAATTGCATTTCGGGATAATGGAGCATGTGTTCTAATTGACCGTTTGATTGTATTTCATTTATCCTGTCCAGCCACTAAGGTAAATTGAAATAAATTTTGTTTATGACGTTTAAACATGAAATGGTAACATACTAAGGTAGCCATGCATTTAAAAAAGGAAAACTAAAGTGTTATACGACAGAAGATTGATTTCCAGAGTTAGGAATTTAACTGGGAGGGGGATGAAAATCAAATACCATTCGTAAATTAGTGGAACGTTACCTGAAAACGCACAAATTACTGATCTTGAGACCACATCAATTTTCAAAAGTTTTCATACAATTTCTCAATGCTCAAAATTAAAATCCTAATCCCGTAAAAATGAACACCACTGCTACCGAAACTTCAAGCCTCTAGTTTGAAGCCCGACGTTCCACTGGGAACGTAAAGGAATAAAAAAGTACGATTTCACGATAGCATAGCATGCTCTAGAATTATCATGAGGTACTAAGCGTAATTTACACTCACTCCAGTGTTTCAGTGGCGGAAGGTACAGTGAATAATGTTTGTGAAAATTAGATTGCTGGGGTAACAGCAGAACACTGTAGTGTTTGGTAACGGAATAATTTCATCAGTACTTGGTGTACAGATATAGCCAAGATACGTCTACCATATATATGGAAGTCACTCTTTGCACATTTATTTCGTATTTTGCTTCATTGTCTCCTCTTCGAGTCAAACAATGTTATTTCAAAAGCACCGTTCATTTCTTGCCTTCTCTACTACATTCCTTTCCCCACTATTCCATATTCTTACAGATGATATACAGATTACATGGAGGATTTCATTATGAGCTGACATCAGTTAGAGGACCACTGGAAAACCTGGGAGTACTAGACAGCTGTTTCATCCTAGTTTGGGACTCTTTAGCAGTACGCACCCACCGAGATTCGAACCCAGGACCTTCTGGTTACAAGGCGAGGTCGTAGACCATTGAGCCACGGTGGGTGCGTACTGATGAAGAGTCCCAAACTAGGATGAAACAGCTGTCTAGTACTCCCAGGTTTTCCAGTGGTCCTCTAACTGATGTCAGCTCATGATGAAATCCTCCGTGCAATCAGACGAAATCCCCACAAAACCAATACTTGAAGATATACAGATTTATCTGTGTATCTATGTACTACTTATAAGTCTTGTCAGTGTAAGATGATAAAGCCAATTACTGAAATTAGTAAACATTTCTTCTATTATTTTAATCTTTTAGTTTCGTTTAGTAAATTTACCAGAAACTGAAGCTGGATATAATAAAGAGATTAGACAAGTTCATGTTCAGTGTATTCCTGGATCAATTTATGTCTATGAATATCCGATTGATGACAAACAGAATAGTATAATTCATCAACAGAATTATAATAAATTATCAAATATAAATGATAAAACTACTGGTTTAGCATTTTGTATGGCTGATGGTAAATGGCGTTTACAAACAAATCATGGGTGTGTATGTGATGCAGGCTATGAATTAGTGGAACATACAGAAACTTGTCAAGGTAATTAATAACTTTATTAATCTATTACAATTTTGTTACAACCACTTTTGTCTGAGTATTAATACCATTATATATATTGAGTGTTGTCACACAACCCTTTTTCGAACGATGCAGCAAACTATTTCCGCTTCAATTGTCTAACTCATGAACCTCGTGTAACAGGTATACCCGAAATTTATTAGGTGACAAGGCAAATGTGGGAGGAAATAAATATTCTTCTGCCAAATAATAGAAATTGTATAACTGATTTTATGACTGTCATGAATCCACCAAATGACTACTGGAAGCCCTGGAGCTCTGAATAATTAAGTACTATGCAATCAATAAAGGGTTTGAAGGTGTGTCATAATGGTTAAAGCACTAAGTTTTCACCCACTGGGTTGTGGGTTTGACTTCTACTCCATCTACTTCAGTCTGGACAACCTCGTAGTATCATCAGGCGTCAAATGATCAGTGTGACTCTTCCGCGGAAAAAATCTCGAAGTAGGTTCTGTGATTTTCACTTTGGTTATGCTGCTGAAATGTTAACCCTCTTTTATTTAAATCCTACTCTTACATAAAATGGGTTTTCGTTAATTTATCGTGATATGCTGAAAAGTAACTACCAATAATATGGGCATGTGGAAGGTAGAAATTTAATAAATTTGTGCAACACTTTAAATACTTCAGTTGGTTGATCACACGTGACCACTCATACGGAACATGGCGTTACTTGCATCCGCATTCCATCTTCAGTCATCCGAGCTTCTGAGTTCCAGAACATTAAATGTCAAATGCAGTAAAACCTTGGTCTTGGTTGAATAAAACTTAAAGTGAGTCGAAAAACTCCGTGGTAAAGGGGATAATCGTAGTACTGAATGACTTTTGTGGATCAAAAGTCGAAGCAGTTATCACAAGACAGTTTTGTTTTTAGTGCCAGAATGAATTTAGAAACGGCGGTAAAGTTAATTATACTACACAATAAGTTTATTTGATAAAAATGTAAAGTAATATTTCGAGCACAATTCATTGCTTACAACCAAGGCTTTCATATAATTATGAGTAATTAGTGGTGCCCAATGTGTCACTGTATATTTTTATCAAATTATTTTACAATAAAATGAATTTTATTTTGATATACGGCTCCATGAAACCATAATCTATCTGATTGGCATCAAACATTTGTAAATCAGTTAAAATAGAATAAACGTTGATCAGGTTTCAATGAAAATGATCCGTAAAACACAATGCACTTCAAATTTCAACTGCAAAATACTGATTATAAACATCAATGATAACTAATTATCTGAAATTGCTTAACAGTGAAGGAAAGCACTAGGCCAGTACCGTACTGTTGTGTTGTTTTCTATTTTTGGAACAATAATCGTGTAGTACTTGTTGTTATCTTGTTTTATTTTGATTTATAGTTTGTCCCAGAGGAATGTTCAAGTCATCTCCAGGCTTACAACCGTGCAGCTTATGTCCATTGAATTCAGTTGCACCACGTGCAGGTTTCCGAATCTGTCAATGCCTGTCAGGATACTTTCGTATCGCACCTAATCTGTCCGCTGAACATAGTTGTTTGGGTATGTAGCAAATGCTATGTTCATCAGTGTGCCATTTTTTCCGGTTATTTTGATGAATTAATGTAAAATATGTAATTCATTCACTAAAGAAATAAAAAGGAATTTCGAAAACAATGTGATAATGTTAGCACAAGTGAACACCCCATACATAAGGTTTGTCATCATTTAAAAGTGTCTTCCATTGATCTCGACTGAGAGGATACTAGGGAATTTTATGTTGGATTTCTGTCAAAACGATTGAAAGCAACGCACCGCAAAAGAATCCGGTGTTTATGATATAATCCATAGTTGTCTTATCTCCAAATCCTTTCCCCTCAATTTCTGCTCTTTGAGAAGAGGAGCAAGAACTTTATGAACATCTTAGATTCCATTAAATTATTGCGTAATTCATATATGCATTTTTACAAACTGTTATTCTGAAACACAATAATCGATATTGCCTTATGTGTAAAAAACTTTTAGGTCCACCATCAGCTCCAAGGAATTTAAATGCTATTCACATTAATGGGACATCAGTAATTCTATCTTGGGATCCACCGATTCGTTCAGGTGGTTTTCAAGAAACGCTATATCATGTTCAATGTCAAGGATGTCAGATGGACACGGTGAAATATATACCTGGAAATCATCTAACCGAAAATAAGTAAGTTGAGATGACGGCTTTCATGTGCTTTTGTCGAAATTTTTTACATAAAGACAGTTCATGTATTTTGAAGGGAAAGGAATTGAAAGAAGAGTAAAATCACTGTGTCAACCCATGAATTACAAGAATTTCGATTTCTCTAACCTTTTAGTGATTAGTTTTAACAATGAAATGTAGGATTTCATATATGTGTATTCTTTTTGCGGGTTATGATGGTGATGGTTTCAGTTTGCTGTTGGCAAAGTTTTCAGTAGAAGACTAGTTATTAGTTTCCATCTATCATTAGAGTCTTATTTTTATGAATAAGTACCCACAAAAAAGGAATCGAATAGTTACTTTAGAAATGAATGAATAACAATCGTTCACTATAAGTTTCCAGACCGTAGGTGTTACGAACTTCCTGGAATATTTTGAGCGCCGAGTTAGATTGATTCATTATAAATTATTTAAATTAATCCCAGAGTGTTTAAGAAAATCAAAACAAGATTTTTCTGAACGTTTCGCTGTGTAAACCACAGCTTCTTCAGCAGATTTATTCAGATTTTTTTTATTAATCATCAAAATATATAGTCAAAAATTTCTACATAAATTGAAGTCAGTTTATCTGAAGGTCATTTGTCCATGGACATTTTTACCAATAGAAATATGTAAGCAGTCATCATATATTTGTAATGACTAATGTCAAACTGTTATTGTGTATATTTTTCTCTAGTTGATTTGTAAGGATTAGTTCTGTATGAGTGTGTGCATGTTATTTGTCTAATGGAAAGACGTCAGTTCACATGTCATAAATATGATAATACATTTTTTTAAAAGATCATGCAGGCACATAGAGTTTTTTCATCTGTCTTGCTTCATAAGTGTTTGCCATATAAGTGATAAGTCTATCCCTTCTTTCCTATTCACTGCATTTGATGCGGTTAAAATGTGCAACGCTTCAGAAGTCAACCATTCTTTATGTGAATGAAATCCTCTTCCGAGAATTTCAACATTGTCGAAATCAATCTTATGTCCGCTGTCTATCACATGCATTGCTATAGCCGATCTTTTTTCTAGATTTTTTAATCCTACTTCATTTCTAGGTGGACGTTTCGTGCATAGTATATGTTCATTCACTCTGACCACCTGTCTACCGCTCCCCCCTATATAGTATGCTTCACACTCTCAACCCTTAATCCTGTAGACACAATTACTTAGTGACATTTTGGGAACCATATGCTTGACATGCACCAACGTTTTCTCCAGAGAATTAGAGGGCTTGACATAGACTTTAATATTATATGAAGCAAATAGCCTATGAAGTTATTCAGCCGTTTCCTTTCGATATGGAATAACTATCGTCGATAGCCAAGATTTTTCAATTTTTTGTTTTCCCTTATGCGCCTTTTTATTGATAATATTATCTAGTAGAATTTCCGGATAACCATTTCCAATCAAAATCTGTTTTATATTGGGTATCTCGTTCCTCATATCGTCATTATCTGTTATAATGTTTCTAGCTCTGTTAACGAGATTTAAAGCTACTGAAACTTTCATTCCTATTGGATGATCTGATTGGAAATTCAAATAATTGTTGGAATGTGTCGGCTTTCTGTATATGGTAAACTTTAGTTTCTCATCAGTTTGTCTTTTTACAAGACAATCAAGAAAGTTTGGAGTTCTCTCCGCCGATTCTACTTCATTAGTAAACTCTATATCTTCTGAGATTAAGTTAATCTCTGTTAGAAAGTTTTCTTTTTCAGCTTTCTTTATGATAATAAATATGTCATCCACATATCCGTACCATATTCTAGGATGACAACTAAAACTTGTCAATGCTTTCTTTTCTAGGGCTTTCATATACAAGTTTGCCACAATTGCAGATGCTGTTGAACCCATTGCAAATCTGCTTGTCTGACAGTATAGTTTTTCTTTAATGGTAAAATATGTATATTTCAGACAAAGTTTTAAGCATTTTCTAACTTCATCTATTGATAGTAAAGATTTAGTGAATACTTTCTGATTGTTTTCAAGTTCATATTTCATAATATCAAGGGAATCACATATAGGAATACTAGTAAATAGAGAAACCACATCAAAACTTGCCATAATTTCGTCTTCTTCAATGGTTATGTCCGTTACTTTCCTCTTAAACTCCTCAACATTTTTAATGTTCTGCATAAATAAAACAATCAGTAAAATTATCCACTTATGAGTTTATTTTCAGGATAAATTTCAACGCACATAACCTGAAGGATTGTTGTGACGTCACTTTTATTCATAAGTATATACATTTCAATACGATGAGCTAAAGTTTGTTTATACTTATGACAGTGTTTTCGTTCAGATTCTGATTAAATAAAAGTTTTCTAAAAGTAGATACTGACAATCTGCTTAGTGTCTCTTCTGACTCATTTCATCATTCATACTGACCCACTTGAGATTATTTATAATAACTAAATAAAATTATTAAATTGAGCAGTTATTGACGCAGGAATAAGTTGAGCTGTCTGAAACATAATTATATCGTATTTCAAACAACATTTAAGGAAATGTAGCACTATCACTTAAAACAAGAATTGTCGACTATTTTCAGAAAGATACTGTCTATGCTATTAGAATCTTGAGTAAATTAAATTCTGAGGTGAACAGTTTGTTACATTAAACTCAGGATTATGTCGTCTTATAAGGGTTTCTACTTAACATATTTGTAGATATCATTTGACATATTTTAAGTATCTAAGTTAACTTCTCAGGAATCATATAGAAAAGAGTTCCAATAGAGAAACACCAAAATGTAGTTCCTTTCCAGTTAAGTCTTTTCGACAGTTCACACTTGCAATTATGCTAATAATGCAGTACAATATAACCACGTCCATAGAGACCATCATAGCATTCAACCAGTAGGTTGGACCGCCATCTTCAGCATTTTATAACTTCTGCCACTTACTGTATAACACAACCTAAATTCACTTATTATAAATGATAACTGAATATTACCTTCACTTGACAAATAATGTGTGTTGGAAATGATCATGCGGCTTTAGGAAAATTTCCTAATTTTGACTTGTAAATCAAATCAGTCTCGTATGTATTAGTAAGATTATTGTAAGCGCTATCAAAATAGCCTGATTTTAATATTATTAAGCAGAATTCTCATAGTACTATATCCTTTTACCTTATTTATTGCAGAGTAACAATAACCGGTCTCAATCCACAAACACGATACCAATTTGATGTTTACGCGCATAATGCTGTGTCAACAAGAACGGAAAGTATGTGGACAAATGTGGCTAGTGTGATGGTCACAACAGGATCAGGTGAGTAGTACTACTTGCATGTATACATTCCAGAAGATCAGTTGCTCTAAGAATAGTAGTGAGTAAGGTAATCAGGAAACTGTAGGAACATGAGATTCCATATCACTGTGGATATGTTTGCTATAATAAGAAGTATTAATAAGCATGAAGTATGCTTTCAAAATTGCTAGACAGTTTGGTTCTTGTCTTTACTTTTGACGTTAAATATTATTTGTTCTTCATATTATGTTTAGTGTGAATACAAAAGCACTTGAATCTATGCTTTAGTTGAGGTGGAAGTTAACTTGCTTTGTAATTCTAATTTTAAAAGTTGAAATTTCCGAAGAGAAAAAGGTTTCCCATAGTAACTTTAACTGTCTCACCACCTACTGCACTGATTTGTTGAGTTAGCTTCGCCTCGTTATCTGCAAATATACTTCAGCGTTTAAACATTCCTTTTGTGGTAAGAGCCGTCTGCTAGCCGAAATTGTAGACATCAATTTACGTCAATGTCACAAGATAGAACAATAACAAAACCTAACCTTGAGGAACTCAACAACCAGTCATAGTAGACTTAGTATGGGCAGATACGATTCGCAGATTTGTTACTGGACTGTCTAGGAAACTGCAACAAAGTGATGACAGAATAACCTTCCGCAGGAAAACAACCAATCAGAAGACGCTGCTTCTCTGTTAACAATAACGAATAGTAATGTACATAAAAATCTATAAATATCTGTTGATTTTCTCAATAAAGGATCTGTTGCCTGATCCTTGTCTTCCGTCGTTACAATTTACCTGTTTCCTATGTTAAACAGATAATACCAAAATGACAAAAGTGATAAGTAGGTGTTTGTAGGTAACTCAGTCCTGTACTAAAAGGAGAAACAAATACGAGAAGAATAACTGTCACTCTTTACATAGGATTCATTAGTTTAGTGGGAAACCAAGGGGTGAGAGGCTGAATCTCATGAATAATCCTCAGCTGGGCATTAATGAAAAGATCGAAACAAGTGATTCAGTGAAAAGGATCCTTTTGGCTAATCCATTTTCTGTAGCCATACAATAACATTTGTACACAATTTTTTTTTCATGAAAGAGGGTAATAACAAAACTGATGAGTTGTCATAGTCATAATTAATAATATTAGTCAATATATAAATGGAGTTGGATAAGTGTATCAGAGTTACGCAACCAGACGAACAATTTACTGATTGGGTTATCATCAAGCTACACACAGAAACAAGGGAACATTTGGTATTGCGTAAGAGTTCAGAATAAATACAACAGTTATAAAGGGTTGAAAAACAACCAAACACGGTCAGATCAGTAGAAATCGACAAAGCTGCTACCATGATAGTAGAAGTGCTTGAATAATTTTCTCTTGTATGCACAGTTCCAGGTATTGTGTGTGAATTGCTAAATTCTCAGGAATGCAAAGGAGATAAAAGTGTAGTGTTTTTGGTAAGTTGTTTCTCACTCTGTAGATAAGCGTGAAGAATGAATTTGCTAATATAGAATGACCAGTGTTCAATAGTTGTACTCCTCACAGAGCCACTGTTGCCCTTCTGCCACCATAAGGTATAGCATTCTTAAACTTTTTTAAACAGGATTCGCTTTTTAATGAAAAATATACCGGGCTCCGTAGGAACAGGTAGAATAATATTCGCATACGGAAATGACACTGAATTTTGCTGAGAACACTGTCACCCAATGAATTGCAAGTAAACTGAGTTGGTGAATCAACATTAGGTGAAAATGCATATCCACAGTGGCAGTTATCACCAGCATCAATGACTTATATCATTAAATTAGCTTGACTGTATACAATTCGTTTACTCATAGCTACTGTAAATTTCATTATTTCTTTTATGAAGCACTAACATATTTAATTGCTGATATTCGAACTAAGTGGTTAAACGAAAGTACAGTTCACATTAATTGGGACGTATATCAAGTCGCTCCAGCAACAAAGTTACCACCGTCGTCACCTTCATCACTGACATCACAGTTACCATCTTCAAGTGAAGCATCAGAATCTTCGAACTCCCAATCGTCAAACCTTTCCTATCATCTTTTAGATTCCGATGAACAGAAACCAGATAGAATATCTGTATTTTCTAATCAGATCCGGTTTCAATTATGCTTATTTGATAAAGCCAATCAAAATTTTCAAACTGGGACTCCTTTTTCTAATACCCTATACTTCACAACCGCTGACAATAATAATCTGCAAATAAATAACACTGACAATTATGACCGTGCAGAAACCGATTTTAACATCAAAATAAATCGTTCTAATTCTGTTCTACAGAAACAACAATCAATGATTAATTCATCCTTAAAAGTAACCACTTACACCCACGGAACTGGACTAATTGGAAATCCAGATGCTGTACACTATACGAGTCATTCAGAGATAATATTATACAACTTATATTCTGAGTCAGGATTTTTCATACAAGTATGTTGGTTTTTGTATCTATCTGATTTATTTCAGAGTAATATCTTGTCACGAATTGCCATCAGTTAGGGAAATATTGACAATTCAGGAGCAATGAATAGCTGTATCATCCTAGTTAGACGTCACTAGGGACTGAACGAAACGAACGCGTTAATCATTAAAATTTTTCTAGTCAGAATGCATAAACTCACCAGTTCTAACCATATGGTACTATCAGAGGTTAATGTCGTCAGTGAGTATAAGTGATTTTACACGACTTGGTAGACACCACCGGTGATGACTTTATATTAAAAATTTGCGAGTATTCATTCGGACGGCATTCATTAGTGAACAGTAGGTGTGTGTATTGTATGGATTTGACTAATTTGGGCTTTTTCCATGGTTATCTTATTCACGTCGGTTAGTGATAAAATCTTCGTGAAAAGTTTAAGGTTTCTATAACATTCCAGCTTCACCATTCATCCAGTAAAGTCCCCTTGTCTAATGATCTGCAAATAGAATATTTTAAGAGTATATTACAACCCCTAAATTCAACTTTCCTATCCTTACTTTTATTGCTCAGTATCATAGCGACAAGTATTTTCAGTTGATTATGCAGATTTTATGTTTTATTTAGTGCCACAAAATGTTTGTACTTTATCATTGTAATCAGTTTTTCTAACACTGGCACCGTCTTGTTTGAGCATTTAAAAATTTTGTTTAACCACTTACTGAATCACTGGCTCCAGAGAATTACTAAAATCTTTAACAAACTATGTAGTGGGAGTATGAAAAGCCTTTATCACTGAGGCTGGTATAATTTCATAAACTGATTTAAAAAAGCACACTAAATAATGGTAAAAAACTGAGCTATTCACGCCAATGAAGAAATAAACCTGGGAAATATGACACCAAATGGACTTATCTGATAGTTTAAAATAGTGATTTTAGTGTATTTCTCCATACAATATCTTTTATTCTGGCTGATGAAACGGCTAAAAATGGAACTTAGTGAAGAACGCTTTGGAAATGTAAAGCACATAAAGGAAAAGTTTCACAAAATCTTAATTTAAAACAAGTAAGAAGCAGTGTTTGATGAACTAATAAATCTCGGTAGGACACGTCAGCTAAAAGCTCTACAGACCTTGTTACTTACAACTTTTGAAGGTTAAATAGGATTAAGTCAAGCGATTTCAACGTGTCTGATCTGAATTCAAAAGATTTCATTTTCACATTATACCAGATAAAATAATAATAATAGTGACAATAATATTAATAATGATAATAGCAGGAAAATACATTGTAAAGAAAAACGGGAATGGTAGAAAAAAGATCAAGACAAAGTAAAAGTATGCTTTTATGGTAGATATAATCTAACTACTGTCTACTTTAGTATACACAGATCCGGCTTCTTTAATCTTATTACAGAAGCTTCGACAAGGCGAAGAGCTTTTCATTACCTTATTTATTGATAATTACAAACCTTTTCCTAAGCAGCGTTGTTGTATGATCACAGTCTAGTAAACGACGTGTGACTAAGCTCCTTGAGATGTCATCATGAGTACTAGAAAACCACTCGAGGTAGTGATATATAACGCTGACCGATTGACATCTTTCTATGAGACCAATGTACCTACTTTCATAAATGCATGTAATTTGATAAATGGCAAGTATCGATGTCTCATAGCTTCCTTAACTGCTTTCTGAGATATTACTCATCACTTATTTACAGCTATAAGTGTTAAAACATAGCCTGGAAGTCACTACTAAAGTAATGAATCTTTCAAGTTATCTATATGACTTGCATTAAACATACATCATTAAAGATACTAGTGGATTGCGGAATATAAATATTTGTTTTTACTTCAGTTTGTAGCGAATACTTCCAAAAATGATCCGCTTTAACACACTGAGTGGATTGTTCAGCTATTGGATTAAAAGTTGGCAAAAGTATCTGGATGGCACATTAAAGTAATATTACTAGTGTAACTACTTAATTTATCATGAAATGTAGGACTGACATCATTGGAATGATTGACGACAGAAGGTGAGATGATAATCTGGATAATAAAAGAATGTGACCCTACAGCTCAGGAATTACTAAATGAAGTGGACACCAAAAAATGCTATCTCTCATATATAATATATATATTGGTCCCTTGGTAACCGGTTGAGACACAGAGCTTCGACAGAACATCTTTATTTATTTCTCTATTGTGTTTCTTAGCTGGCCTCACGACTTCTCGTTCGCCTTCATCTCCCTCTCACATGACCTACACCATGTCACCCTCGGACGCCAAAATAGCTCTTTCTCACTCGAGAGATTGTCTGCCGCGCGATGTCACGTGAAGGTCTCCTCAGCGTATGTCCTATCCACCGTCTTTTTATGCGCTATATTTGTTCAGCAACAGCTTAATGACTGATTCTTCCCCGGAGTTCCTTGTCGCTAATATTTTTGGCCGTCTAATCTTCAGTAGGAAGCCAGAGAAGGCAACTACTGGTAAAAGTCTTTCGTCTGGTGGAAACTGTTTCGATAACGTACAGGAAGTCTCCTTGACTCGTAAAAGAACTAACTTAAAATTGGTACTGAAAATCAAAATTTTGTTCCATATGCTAACTGCAGAAAATTTCCAAGGTTATTTCAGATTGATGAAGGTGTGCCTCGCCTTTCTTATCCTGCCCTTGACATCTTCATCGCTTCCACCTGCAGCTTAAAAGATTCAGCCTATATAAGAAAAAGAAGCGACCTCTTTCACATTCCTTCTGTTGATGGCGATTGGTTTTTCTTGTTATTGGTTTTTTATTTTCATCATCTCTATCTTCTTTTTGTTCATTGGAAGTACTGTTTTCACTGCTTTTTCTGAAAACTTGTTGGTTTTCTCCAGTACGTCTTCGGGTTTGTGTAGCATTCGACATAAATCATATGCAGAGTCAAAATGTTTTAGTTTCTGCTTATAGGTCCGGCGTATTCCTGTCTTCTTGCTCCTCACAGTCTCCCACATAATCCAGCCCATCCAAATAAGTAATAACACTGATGATAGTAAGTAGCGTGGTCTTATTCCTGTCTTCATTTCAAAGACTTCATTGAGTTTCCCTCTATGTGTCACTTGACATGTGACGCTGTCATATAGCTGTTGAATAGAGTTGATAAAAATGTCGGGCACTCCTTAGTGTTGAAGTAATTTCTGAATTACTTCGTAGTTAACTCTGTTGAAGGCCCTTTTAAAATCGATGAATCTGAAGATGATATTTGACTGACATTCTATGCTTTGTTCATTGATGATGTGTAGATTTGAAATTTGATCCCCACACAATTTGCTTTTCCTGAATCCAACTGGTTCTGCGAGGTGTTCTGTATCCAGTGCAGCCTTTATTCTCTTCAGGACGACGAGACTTAGCATATATATATATAACCATCAGTCCTTTCAGGCACCTATATTTACCACATATTTAGTTTGAAAGCATCAATAAAGGAGTATCTCTAGTATAGAAGCACTCACAATAAGAAGAGGATTAAAGTATTGGTTGTACATGAATATCCAAAGACGTTAAGTAGACTAAACAGTAGTGTTCATTTTCACCAGACAATTAAGGAGACTTAGTTATCATACGAGTAGATAACTCTACTGTCTTCTATATGACCCCTTTAATTGGGATATTTTTCATCATTTGATATTTTGTAATTGTTTGATAGTACTTCTTCCTTTTTTTCTGTTTTTCTAATAGATACGAGCTCAACACCCCAACTCTTATTGTCCGTACAGTTCACCAATATTTTTATTGTCACCAAAGTGTAAGTGTATAAAGGCTTATAAACAGAATATTACAGTATGCTTTTTAACTTGAATACACTTCACGTGCGCATTGTGGATTAATTGAATCTAGCAAATCTCCACAACTGAAGTTTTGACGTCTGATATGATGTATGGTCGTACGTTTGTCGAGTGGCAAACACTAATTGTGCTGAAAAAAATGTTCAGTGCTTAATAGTTTTCAAAAGTTTCAAAGGTGACATTATCCTTTTCTGACAAATAACTCCATATACATTCTTTCTTGACATACAGTTACATAAACAAGATTGGCAAAACACCATGTACATTGGCTGCGGTGACTTGTTTTCATTGACGAACAATGTTAGGTGATATACTACAAGTTTGGAGAAATGTTAGGGATGGACTTAAACATGATAGAAGCATATAAAGTCCTTCATTATTTGTTTTGGCCACTTATGGTCTCCTAGGCTGTTTGTCTAAGATATTTGATATGCCCGTAGAGTAATTCGGAAAAGCGCTGGTAGGAGCCCTGCTTTGACCCAGTTTTTCACTTTACCTCCTGGTGATCATATACAAAATCAATAAAAGTCTACCGGCCTAGAGCCGTCTCATATAGTTTCACCATCAGTTCTATCGTTATTTCAAGGTTTACTGAGATGCAAAGTGACTATACAAGTTATGTATAACTAGGTAAGGGTTAAGATAGCGACAGTTAGGTTAAAAGTGGAAAATGTTGACATTCACTCCATAGTCTGTCAATTTAGCATGATAAATGTTCAGATTTCCCTTAAGCTAACACTTAATTATTCTGTTACTATTATAATTTGCATTAGAGGAAATGGCTTATTAAAGTTAGAAAATATAAGTGAGTTTAGGTATTTGAGGTCTTCTGTTAATTCTATCGCTGTCCAGATTGAGTTTGTTTAATTCATTTCTCTTTTATCACACTGTATAACAGATAACCGGACGATTAGCTCAACATTCCATGATGAAAGGCATAATGAACTTCCAAAATTATCTGATAAAATTTTAAATAGCAGTTTCAGTATTCCACTACAACATTCAGCAACAGATACAATATTTAATGCAACTTCAGTTCACAAATACATTTCCCCAGTGTATATAGAAGCTTTTGAAAATCAAACGTCATCTAACAGAATATTGAACTGGAATTCAGAATCATCAGCATCGAAATCAAATTCTTCCGTTATAACAATTGGTCTTTTATTATCAGTTGCACTGACCACAATTATTAGCATAATTTTACTAGTAACACTCGTTGTTCTGTGTATTCACCGGTAAGTTATGAGTTTTCTACAATTTTTGTAACACTTAAGCTAAAATAAACGCCTATCATATTAGTTCATTTATTGGGTGTATGTCAGAGTGAAATGGCACTGCTTACTAAGTGATATTTCGAACACAATTAATTGTTAATAATCACGTCAATTGTAACTTGAAATAACGGCTTTTGAGTTCTCATTCATGTTTGCAGTTTAATATAAGTGTAGTAGAAGTTTTCGGATTTCCAGGATAGGTTTTGAAAAATTCAGTGAGATTGTGTTCCCGGGAACACTTATAATGTGAAATTTAAATCTAGAGCAAACAGCTTCCCATAAATATATATCGTCTTTTATCAAAAGTATATTTACAGATGATTGTGTACTCAAAGGTCTTGAGAAATTCAAAAGTCCAAAGCAGATAAGAATGGCTAATATGTAGATGAATGTTATTTATCGTGTGAAAAACATTACACTGTACTTATGATCTCGTTAGTAGTTGTAATATGAGTGCACTTCACTAACTGAAAGATCGTCAACGAGAATCATGTAAACCTTGAACTTTAGGACACATTGTTAGGGAAGTGAAATCATTAGTTTCGAGATAACATTCACATCTTTCTGGATATTTAGACTTAAGTTCGTTCATTCAAAAGTTCAATATTATTCGAGGTTTGTATTTGCAGACGTTTCCCTATAAGTGGTAGTAGCCTAATCAAGCTGAATACTTGACCGTAGTTTACAAAATCTCACCTTACGGGAAGTAAATTTGCTGTGTTAAGTGAATTAAAGAGATAAGGGTTACGAGTATATGCAGACTATTAGATTTGATGAAGAGATGTAGTGCGAAAACAGTAATGTTCATTATTATGAAAGTTTTTGTATTTCTCAATGAATGAAAAACAAAAGGATATTGTTTTTATTGACGTTTCGCTATTTAATGCTAAAAGGTTTATCAAAGTATCATTAAACCAGAATCTCTAAAATCTTAGCTTATATATAACAACCTAATTATCGTTCATCAGCATGGCGTAATTTCTACGTTGTCAAGTTGGCAAATCAGTAAAGATAACAAAAGCAGCTGTAGAATTTTGGATTGCATAAGTGTATGAAATTAAGAAAGTGGCATGTGTTTACATAATGAAACTGCCTATCACATTGGTGTTGATTTTGTCATTTTATGGGAGAGGGGGTTGTTGTAACCTGGTCAAATTCTGTTTAAGTCCTGTAGTGGGTGTACATGTTATAAAATTATTCATCACATCTGTAAAAGCATGTCACAGCTAGGCTAAATTTTGTCCTATATACCCTCGATCCTATCCAGTTTTGTTAATTTGCACTATACATATGGCGCGACCACCAACCACTGATGTCATCAGCACCTAATGATGAATAGTTCTAAACTGGGACGGGACAGCTTTCCAGCAGTCCACGATTTTCAGTGGTTCTTTAAGTGATACCAGCCCGCGATCTCATATGGAACTGAGAACAGGAAAATTTAAGCACCTGAAAACGAGGTTGGAAAGCAACTCTCACGCAATGTACCTCAGTGGTTATAATCAACATGGTTTTCATTACTAAAGGAGATGTAATTCACTGGTTTTAAATAAAGTGTGCTCTTATCTATCTAGCCAATCCTTACCCATTCAACTAAAGATGTTAGCAAAAGACGGACACTGAAGTTTTTAATTCTACAATGCATATGATACTCACTTGACTTTACTGTGTGCAAAGTGATAATAATTGATTCTCAATAATCCGATGGCATTTCACCTTGTTTTTGAGAATATTCTAACACAAAATACCAGTGAGCTTCACATATACTAGCGATTTATCGATGATACTTTCACTGTTTGTAATGGGAATTAGGATCTCAGAAATCTACTCAGAACCTCCAGTAATGCCCATTCTAGCATTTGATTCATTTCAGGAGTTGAATCTAACTGGACGTTCCATTTCTTCGGTGTTGATTACTTACTGAGGAGATCCATTCACAAAATACCCATGTGAAATGGCTAGTTTGTCAGTTTTCAAAGTTATCTCTAATCAGAGGGAGAGGGGATCCGTAAAATATGTAAACATGCAAATTCTTCAAGGAATCCTGATGAAACCTGGTTCCTCACCCAGATTCATAGTCAAATATTCTAAAAACAAAGAAAGCTTCTGAACAGGTCCACATTGTCTTCAAGTTTTCATTTCACTCTTTCTCACTTTCACTTCCTCAGATATACTTCGAGTCTAAAAGATAAGTAGGCGTTATAATAGTTATCTTGACGAAACTAGTGTCTCTAGAACAGTATTAGAAATAATATATATATAAATACTCCCTGTAGTCTTTCCAGTGATATGGTAGTCATTCAAGAGGTTGCATTTAAAGCATCCTTAGACCTTATATAGTTACATGCTCGTTAGATGCGTTTAAATTTTCAAGAATATGTGTGGCGGAATACATATAGTGTTGGTGTGTTTTAGATAAACTTTTACACACCCTTGTCAATATAATTTATGCGTATAAAAACTTCTTTGCATGACATACCAGAAGCCATTTTTATCCAAGATGGAACACAGAGGAGTTGACAAATTGTATTTTTTTTCCTAGAATATGTTTGACAGTGACAAATTTTCTTCTCTTTCTTTTTCTTTCTTAACAAAAATTAAGAAAAGGAAGTCGTCGAAAATTGATTCAAAAGAAATGGTCTCATATCATGGCTAAAATGAACAAATGTAAGTATATTCTTCTTGCTCTATGATACTCGTCAATTTGCATATTGCAGGACTCATCTAAAAGACCACACTTGGTACCTAACTAACACTGATGAGACGTAGACTAGAGCAGACATTGACAGACAAATTAATCTACATGTGTTAATGTTTTGATGACTTTTTATATGGAATAAAACAAGAACAACATTTTGTGCGGAATAAGATGGTACCATAATTTATTTCATTGGCTTCTCATCACGTGCGTGTATGCTAGGGAAAATAAGCTTATGTACACATCAGTTTTACCCTCCTCGCAAACACCACGTATTTTCAGTTGATAGGAGACTTCGAACCTAAAAAATATTGCTCAGAATATGCACGTATATAGTTTATACCCAAGAAATAAAATAAATGCTTAGATACAATGACGAGAGTTATATAATAAGGACTAGTTGTGAACTGAATGAAGATTGGCTAATAAACTGAGTGACAGTGTGATGAATTTAGCTCAAGTAACAGAAACAAAAGACAAGTAAATTTACATTATGTCGAAAAAGAGAGGGGATAAGGGCAAAGATTACGTAATCAAGTAAAAGAGAGGATAAAGACACCCAGTTCTTATGGCAAGGAAAGACTGATAACTGCTTCTTCCTGAACGCATAAATCGAGTTTCAGGTGTTTGATTGCGACTGCTTCGAAAACCTTATGGAGAACTGAACTCGTTTTTATATTGATACTTCTAAAGGATTTCATTATGTTCAGCTCATGTCTGGAAATAACATTATTGTAAACCTTGTTCCTCCGAAACTTTTTGGCGCATATTCAGAAAATCGGAAGTGTGCCCTTCCTTCTGTTCTCTAAATGTGACTGCTGCCGCAGATATATGTAAGTTTATATGCAAAGTTAGAGTCAAAATGAGAAGAGTATCTGTCGACCTTTGATAGCACCAAAAACTATGCCACCCGATAAACGGAAACAAAATTCACTGCCGGATTGGCTCTGGCTAGTTAGGCATTCAATCTTTGGTTAACTATTCCTTTTAAAATTAGACGATTGAAGATAGGCTTCTTTTTCATTATGATTTGTTTGACGTTTTGGCCTCCACATCTTCCACATTTGTAAATGAATTTCCGAGGGTAACCGTTGTTTTCTAACAACTTTTCTGTGTGAAGTATAATCTCCTAACTCTAAAAAACAGAGTTTTGACCAGCAGTCATTTACAGCTATTCGGAATAAAAACAATTAGAACGTAAATATTGTCTACTGTGCGTAGGCTTTCGCTTAGCTGACCTCTGAAGACTACTGTCTTACAAGCGCTGCATGGCGATATAAAAAAATGAAACCTTCCATCACCTTCATGTTCAATAGTGAATTCAGTATTTTAAGTGCATAGCTGATTGATGCAAATAAGTAAAACGCATGGCTAACCTTATTGTACACATAAGATGTGTCATCAACATATAGACGGTAAGTAGTTGTTTTGTCAATTGCAGGCTTCAGCTATGCTGTCTTAAGGCTGGATATAAAGAGGTTTGTTAAAACAGAACTGACAATTTAGCACAGTTTGCAGTTACAACCCATCACACCTTTCAGATGTACTTAACCGTCTTGTGATTAAAAATCTTCGTCTCATAATCTATAAAAATGAGGTGAAAGAGCGAGTCCTTGATTGCATCTTTTAGTCACATAACAGGTGGGCATCACCTATGATATATGCAGGGAAGTGATAACCCGTTTAGCAGTACAATGTGGTGGCCCAGCTAGGAATTTGGTGGCGGCTGGTTTTTGTCCTGCTATGTTACAGTAGTTCAATCCTTGCTACATCAGTAGTAGTCTGCCGGCCTAAAACTACCTCATATATTCTCATTTTACCATCAGTTAGTTTCAGTAATCTCGGGATTACCTTTTTGAGACGTGAAACGTAGAATAACGAATACACCTTAATTTTCTTTCGGAATACTTCAAACATTTTGCGGTGCTTTTGATTTTTGATCAGGACCTTCTAATTATAGTATGGCGTGTTTCATGCTCATTAGTACTGATAAGACCATTCTTCATATGATTACTCAATAGTTCAATAGTCATTATCATTATAAAGGTCATTTCGCGAATCAAGTTTATTGCATGTTACTCATAGGTCTAGTTGTAGATTAGAATAGTCATTATAAGGTAATTAATTAGACATAGGCATAAATAACGCATTGAGAAGAAACTTCGGAAGAATAAGATGAAAAGGATGAAATTTATCAGAGAATCTGAATCATTAACTATTTGCTGAAGTTGAATCAAGAGTGTTGGTAAGTTCAAATAGCGTCAACAATGGCAAAATGTCTTCACTTACGGCTTACTAAACTATGCTGGATAGAGATATGTTACCAGCTTGATTGCATACTATTTATCAACTAATGTCATGTGAATAGTTTTTCATTTGATGCAGACTGAGTCCTTATTAGTGAAGTTTGCAATGCAGCCATCATGTCATTTACCTCTCCGTCACGGTGCACCCTTAATTGTTGCTGGATGGATAAAGGCGGTCAGCAGAAAGCCTTGTATTTAGGTTTTGGGCTGGTTGGCACACGTCAGCAAGGCGTATCTGCAATCTTGAAGGAACTCATGTACCTTCTGAGATTCCAACCTAGGTCACCTAGTGCTTTAGCTTGAGACGTTACAAAACATTCTTTACAGTCCTATGATCAGTCAGTCGTGAACACGAATAGCTTAATGGTAACGCCTCTGATTTCATCACTGGGTGATGCAAGTTCCAATCTAAGACGTGAAATGCGTTCTTCCAAGATTGAAGATATCTTTGCTGGCAAGTGCCGACAGGCAGGAAATGTAGGTCCAAGGCCTCTTGTCGATTGACTCCAAACATCTAACAAATTCAATTTTTCAAGTATTGGCTTGTAGGGATTTGATTGATTGGTTACAGGATTTCATCATGAGCTGACATTGGTTAGAGAACCACTTGAAAACCTGGGAGTACTATCGATCGGTTTCGTCCCATTTTAGGGCTCTTCATTAGTACGCACACAACAACCGGGGTTCGAGCCCAGGACCTCCCACTGACAAGGCGAGCTGGTAGACCATTAAGCCACTGAGACCCGATCCAATGTCCCATAAATTCTAACTTCTGCCAATTCACAATATAGCGCAACCGCTAGCCAATATCTTCGGCGAGTATTTGTCCTCACACCCGATCTGCTGCACCCTACTGGTCACGACTTCCCACTAGAACCCCAGGTAACCTACCTGAATAGGGCCAGTCGCCAGTGAGCATCTCACTGATATTCAAGTATTGGTTTGTAGGGATTTGGTTGATTGGTTACAAGATTTCATCAAGAGCTGACAGTAGTTAGAGAACATCTTTCCAGTACTCCCAGGTTTTCCAATAGTTCTCTGACCAATGTCAGCTCATGATGAAATCCTGTAACCAAATACATTTTTACTTTATTTTGGAAATGTTTCCAGTAAGCGTGGTGGCTTTGGGAATCGTTGCTATTAGAGAAACGTAATTATATAAACAACATAATCTTGTTTCTAGGATCCAGGAATCGAATGGTGATATGATTCAGGTTGAAATAATATGAAACAAAAGCAAGTCAGCTGATCAGCTTATGAGTATTCACTAATAACACTACTTAAACTATTTCATGCAAACCTTTACCCACATCAACCAGTAAAAAATATTTCGATTCATCACGCAACAAAATCGATTGAGTGATAGCCACACAGCACTTAGTTACAGTTTCTAAGACTACCAGATGGCTGTCAGAAATTTGTGTTTCATCCAGGAAAACAGTGAATATTTTACTGAAAACAAATCACCTTTATCCCCTAACTTATGACTTTTTTGTCTTTCTTGTTTACCTACATCTATTGCTTTTCCTCCTACAGTGTCAGAAATAACGTTACATAACATATTGTAGTGCTATCTCGTAAATATATTCTTTCCTGATTAATAGATATCATTAATCTTATAAAAATATCATTTACTACAAACTAGAATGCCTGTCAGAATTCGTTACTGACTTACTTTTCTGAAAAGCGGAAATTTCAATCATTTGAACAAGGTTGCTTCCTTCCCAATACTTTGTCACACACTTGTCATTTATTGATTCAGTCACTTTTTAACATTCCTAAATCCCTGTTTAGACTATTTGAAGACAGAAGAATTGGCCGGAGAAATATTTACTTTTAAATTAGATCCTTCTCTGTGGGGTCTACTCTAATATATATGCAATTTTTATTACAATACAGAAGTATGGTGTTAGATTTGTTAATAATAGTTAGTCTATGTCAGCATCTCTGAAAAAGTAACACAGCGTCTACAGAATGCAGTAAGTTTGTGGTGGTGCAATACAGACAATGTGTTCCAATTGAATATTATTCTCACATATTCCCACAGTTCAGTTCTGCATTAGCAACAGAATGATATATGTATTTGAACATTCTATTTCACATCGTTTAATGTGAACCAAAAATCACAGGCTCAGTGATTGATTAAAGAATATAAACTGTAATAGATATAAATAGCTGTTTGATCACTTGAAAATATACGTTTACTACCGTGTCTTACCTTCTCCTGTTAAAAGTTGAGCATTTATTGCAGCAGAGATATACTGTCTCTTCGCAACTACACCAATCTTACTTTTGAGAAATATGGATGAACTACCCACTTCTATGTGTATCTACAAGCTTGACTGCTCCTATGGAGAGAGTTGAGCATACAACTAAGTATGTTCACCATAGGATGTTCGAACGTTATGTTGGCTGGTTAGGCGAGTAACAGACAAGACCATTTAATTCTTGTGTTTCAGCTCACCTTGTAGATAGAGAGAATACAGTTCGCGTTAACAAAGAATTTAAAGTTATTCATCGTGTTCTGAATAATACTCATTTTGCTTTACCAGTTTTTTTCTTCTACATAAAGCTAAGGCTATCGAAATCCATCAGAAGAAACCAGACTTGTGCGTTCAGAAGAAATTCACCTGGCTTCTTTCCTTATCTTGGCCATCATTTCATTAATGTAAAAAAAGGTGACAATTTCTCCGCCTCCTACACGTTTAACAAGTTAATTATTATTATTAATTATTATTATTCTAACTAATGCACCAGTAATTACTTATTCCGTAAGCAGTTTAATCACCTGTCTGTTTCTTAATCACTCCTCTTATTTTTCCGAAATTATTTACTGTTAAACCCACTTGTTTAATTTGCGCAAATATTTGTAACATATAATTGTTGCATCAATAACTTTTGACAATTATCCTTACAACACTAGTATTATTGACATCTAATGATCCTATACCTAAAAATATGCGCTGAGTACAGACTGATGCTTAATGGTTTAATTCTTTATTTCGGTTTGTGATGCTACTTCTCCTCAAATCAATAGAAACTTCACAGTCCACGACTAATAACATCAATCTACTCAAAAGAAAATTTCAGTGATAGGGTGAATGGATAACTGGATACTTGAATCTCTGTTACGTAGAAAACTGTAAAATTTAATAAAAACCAGTTGAAATATCATTGCTCAAATTATGATGGTATTAGTTAGCTTCAAAATAATCTTACAATTTTTATGACTTTCCAAGATTCCTATGAGAATAGGGTTTTAAAACTAGTCTAGACATAATTCTATCGAAATGCTAAGTTTTTCAAACTGTAACCATTTACATAAATAAACGAGTCTTTGATAAAATGTTATGTATCCACGTAGGTGTAGATCACTTGGTATACATACTTCTTTTAGGGATAATAATTTAATTTGAAGTTTAATTCCTTCTGTTTCAGACCTCTTATTTAATTCATCCACAAATGCTGCAAATAAAAATGAAATGCGATCATTGATGTTTATGGATAGTGCAGAAGTGAACATCATTCCATGCGAGCAAATAAAAGTGATGTATAAGCTAGGGGAAAGTAAGTCTTTCTTTGGTCATGTTGTTTTCTCCCTGAATCTTTTAAATGAATCATATTTGTGATTTGAAAATGTGATCTGCCCGATACCATGTATGGTAGTCAGGGAGGCTGGAATAGTTGACAGCTAATTGATTGAGGTGAGTAGTTAGATAATACTCACACTATCGAGTGGTACTTTCTAGCTAAATCGAAGTAATCTGAAAGTCGAACACTCATTTCGCTCGTTTGGGGCAAAGTTCATCAGCAGTGAACCCCGTTTGACTCAGCCTGTAAAGTCGAATGAATTCAAACCATCCGATTCCTAGCTAACTACATGAGTGAAGTGGTGGTTCCATAAAATAAATCCTACTTTACACAGTCTAAGAAAATGAGCTCAGTGCCACACGAGTGACACGACCACCCGGTGTTTAAATCATTTTGGTTTGACTGGCAAGCACACCTGTTGATGTGATATACAACTAATTATCTCAACCAGTATGCAGTACGTATTTCGATGCAATAATAACTGTGAAGCCCGGATTCGCCTGTCTTAAATAAGAAAGAAAATTAATGCATTCATGTATTCTGTATTCATTTATTGTTAACAGTGAAACAGTAATATTTACACAATTGCTAAAAGTAACAGCAAGGGTAAGAAACTCATAACAGAATCTTCTATTATTACCAGATTTGCAGTATTGCAGAAATTAAGGTATGCTTTATTTGAGAATTATGAAACCAACGATAAGATGTCGACGGTCGATAAAACAAAGCGAGTCATATATCTCCTAACATCGGTCATTATTCCTACAGAAATAAATATTGAAAAGGATTGGGCTTCGATGAAGCAGTAGATTAACTTAAATCTGAGGATGTCATTCAATAAATATACATAGTGTAACAACAGGAGACAAGGGCCAGGCAATAGAACGTTTATTACGGAAAATCAACACATATTTATAGATTTTGACGTACATTATTGTAGGTTAATGTTAGTAGAAAATACAGTCTGTTGATTGGTTGTTTCTCACACAAAGTTAACCTTGCATCTCTTGTGGCTGTGTCAGTTCTGTATCCGCCTGTCCATCTTGACCTTGACCTCAATTACTGCCAACCAATTTGGCTAGCAACCATCTCTCACCACAACATTGACTAATATTTGATACATAAACATTGAACTCAATTACTGTCAACCCCTTGGCTAGTAGACAGCTCTCACCATAATAGCAATAAATGTAATAGATAATTAACTGCACCCTAATTATGAGCGCAATAAACACTAATACTAAGACGACAGAAAAGCGTAGAGCATAGTGAAACAGGTAGTGGACACTTTGAGGAACCTTAAGAACAAGAAGGATACGATAATTGCTGAATCAGACAAAGGCGGTTTCATTGTGATATTAGATAAGTCAGACTATTTGTAAAATGATAATACTCACATACTAAGTGGAGCGTATGAAGAATTATTCAGTATATATATATATATGCAATGCTGTTTCACTGTGTGATTTCTCCAATAAAAATGAATATGTAATTAATTGAACGCCATTACACTGATCAAGTTTATGCGTATATTATTGTACACGTATTCTTTACTTCTGATGTTTATTTTACATAAATTAGTCATTTGAGATAATCATCTACTCATAAGTGGTATTAAAAACGTATTAGCCAGTCATACCACTATTACGCATTACTTTATATTTCGTGTTGCATTCTAAAAGTACATTGATTCCATTGAACATTTAACTTCGAAAAGCGCGAATCCACTCAGATATTCTTATTTATTCATTCAGTTCCGAATTCATAGGCTTAACCGTTACTTTATGATTCCCATGTCTACCTCAATGTGTTAAAAAAAGACACAGAATACAAATTGTCTATGGTGATGAATTAAATCTAAAAAAGATTTAATAAAAAATGAATAAAGATTAGATTTTAAAACTTTCAAGATATTGTACATATATTTTTTACATATGGTTCTGTTTACCTAAATTATAAATAAGTATTAGACGCCAGCATGATTGAAAGGCGTATTTGGAAATTGAGGTTTACAAGTCAGTCATGGTTAACGTTGAGTTTATTCAGAACGCTTTGCTACTGTAGAGCCTTATTTGCTTGGTTCTGTTATTTGTAAGAGAAATTGATGGTATTACATATTATAGACCATAAGAGAGTACAGACACATGCCATTCGAACAGATTTTCAAGTCTAATAAAGTGCTGACTTCTTCGAAAATAATTTATAGACACATTACTCTTCTGAAATAATACAGAAGATTTATTCCTGGGTGGGTTTAATAAGGTTACGTTCTTTGTCTTGGGTTATTTAGTTGTGAAGCTCTCACTGTCCTTTTGTACAGTGTCTTCGGATCAAACGAAGTTTGATTCCCCTGACGATTATACGAGTATATCAACTAATTAGAATTCATATAAGTCGAATTCATTTTGAAGTTTTCTCTGGAGATGTCTAGAGGGGCCATGACAGTTTCTCGGTTAAACCACTCAGATCAGAAAATGGAACTACACCAAAAAATATAAATGGGTTTTTCATTACAAAATAAATAAAACATAGATAAATGACACCACCACCTGGTAAAGAAATTTTATTAAAACATTTGTGAAATCTTGTGAAATAAAAGAATGTTTATGTTAAAGCTGATAAATTATTTCAACTTAATTTCCCCCCTATTTTTTATGCAAGACAGGTATGGTCAAACGTTTTTCGCCAAACTGTATCTGCATGTTCAATCGCCGAATTCGTCATCAATGAATGACTCTTATTCAAAACTGCACAATGTTATCACTAAAAATATCCTGGAAAGCCCTTGTTTCCCAGAGGATAATTCTTTTGAAAACAGCGGCGCCAAAAATGAAAACGACTGGAATAAAAAATTTGTAAATTCATTTGAAGAATACGACAAATTCGACTCAATCCATCACCTGAAAATTGATGATCAATCTATAGGAATATTTCCAGATGAAATACACAGAAATAGAAATGCTGTGCGACTTCAGAATGCCGTTAAACATCCTGAATTCAATTGTGTAGATGTTTTCCTTCAAGATTTGTGCTATTGTCAAATAACCAAAGAAAAACAAACACAGTTTGCTTACCCTGTCGGAGGAAATAAAAGACAACAGCAACTTGGAAGATCCCAGTCAAACCTTAAAGAATTATTGATGAATCGAAGAATGCTAGAATTAATTCAGAAGTGTACTAAGTTCAACCATCCAAATATTGTTAAATTTTATGGACTAACTATGTTGAAATTGACGGATAAAATTTCTACGTGCTCTTTTGTAAATGAATTCTGTACATATGGATCACTAGATTTATATCTCAAAATGGTAAGTCAGAAGAATCTTATCAACAGGCAGTCAGACAAACTGTTTTTTTCAGTTTGGTTTTAAAGGTACTTTGACTAACTTTATTTTGGATTTCACAACGGAACAGGAATCATTTAACACCAGGGAATTTAAAAAAAATGTTTCACCCTTATTGGGTAATATTCGGCCATGTGTATCCATAGTCCAAACCAGAGATTGAACCTAGGTAATTCAGTTTAGGAGACTATCTCTAAGACAATTCAGCCGTGTGGTTGGAATCCAGTGAACCGCGTACTCTAACTTCTGTTATTTCACGGTATATTCCAAACAGCAATCAGCAGCTATCCAGAGATCTCTGGTTTCCAAGGTTTCCTTAGTTAATGTCAGGTCACAGTAATTCCTATGTAGAGATTATTTTAAATCTGTGCATATTACTTAGTCATTATCTTAGATATTGGCTTTTATATCTGAGTGAATATTTCAGCACAAGAAAATTAACATGACGGTGTAATTCTTTGAATTTTAGATATCACCAGATAAAGAAGGCTTCATATTTACCCTAGGTTATTAACTTTACTATCTAACAAATTAACGGGGACTTCGGATGTGAGAAGATAAACATTATTAGGGAGCATACTTTGTTAGTTATTTGAATATAAATTTGGAATAAGAATTATGCATGCATGCGTAGAGTCGTATGTGCTTCCATAAATACATGCATCAACACTCAATACATGCGCACATAAATCGAATATCTTTGTGAATAGACACTTAAAAGCATTTTCTTTAATGAATTGATGCTTATACATTAAGGTTCTATAATCTGATAAGGCTGTGATCATACTCTAATACTTGTATTCCTCTCAGAGGTTTTATGGGGTAAAATTTCGATGTTATCAACTGCAGTGTTATTCTAAGTGGAAATCCACTTGTCATTGTCTCTAAATTACTGATAGGAAATTTTATCTCTGAGACAAGAGTTCTATTGGTAATTGAGTGGATCCTAGTAATAACATTTAAACAGTGAGAACTAAGGGAGGAAAGTCAATAAATAATGCACTGGTATGAAGTGAAGAAAGGCGTTTCAAACACAGGGGCTTTTAGAAAATGATTTATAAAGTGCGTAGGTGGTTCAGCTGCAGAGTGCTGCCTATCCATGCACGTGATCCGAGGTTCTAGTCCTGGCCAGAGCACACGTGTACCTCCCTTAACCTGTTTCAATCCCGGCAAAATGAGGACGAAAGGTATAAGGTTAGCAGCCCCATGCCTTAAAAAATATGCCACTGCTACAAGAAATTCAAAGTTAAATCTTGAAGCCTTATGTTTCACTGGGAACGCAAATGAATATAAAAATGCCTCCATACAGAGTTTAAATCCACAAGAGCGGTAATAACTTCTAGGGCAATGCATGATCAAAACTAAAAACATGGCCACAACAAAATTTGTTTTAATAGTTTCATTATGGGTAAATTTTATTTTGATAGAGTCTCACAGTGTTATACAGTAATAATTACTGATGACGTTTCGAGCACAATTTATTGCTCATAATCACATCAAGTTGCTTGATATGATTATGAGCAATAAATTGTGCTCGAAACGTCATCAGTAATTATTACTGTATAACACTGTGAGACTCTATCAAAATAAAATTTACCCATAATGGAATTACACTCTACCACAGTGCCCAAGTTTTATTCTTATATCATTGTTTTAATAGTTTCTTAACTTCAGTATTTTTAAATTGGGTCCAGTATTTTTGGGGCTGTTGTTGTATCATCTGAGCTGGATAGTTTAGTTGCAACGTTCTTATCATCCTTCTGGACAACATCTTCAGCTCTGACTTTGATATTAAGTGAGCTTTTGGGATTCTTCACAGATGAAGCACTTGTGTTTTTGGATAACATTAGCTGTGACCTATCCTTTGCGTTTACTACTTTTTGGCAGGAGTATGCGGTATTTTTTCCGATTCAAAAGAATCACAGACTAGTTTTATCGAGCTCCGTATTAAGAAATACCATTACAATACTATTTTAGACTTTTAGTCCGTTATTTGAAAAACGGATTCCTTCCTTCACATAATAAACACTATAAATGTAACAATCATCTTCACTGTAACTGATCATTTTTGAAATTTAGACTTTTGTTTGAAAGTGAAACACCTATAAATTGTTCAGCGATGAATTCACAAATAAAGAATAAGTAAGGACCACCAAGTTGTGAAAATTCTGTGTCTAAATTAGTCCAGTAAGGAGAAACATTATTTCCACCCGAAATTCTGCTTAACCTTTGTGCGTCGGTGGCACAGTGGTTAGGACTCTCGCCGACCATGCACATGGGCCAGGGTTCGATCCCCTGCCGACGCATACGCGATACCAATGGTCGGCCTTCAAAATTGGGCTACCGATATCACATGCTGAAAATTCCATGCTTGTACCAAAAATACGGTGTAGAGTCAAGCTATAACCAAAAGAAAAAAGAAAAATAAATAAATAAAAAAGCTGCTCTGTTACACTTGAAAGTCCTTTGGATAAAACTTGTAATTTAGGTGATCAAGTATTTAGACAAACGTATAAAACCGAAGACTGTTTACTAAAACATGTTGTTTTATATTTCTAGATTTTAGAAGATGATCAAGTTCAAACATCAGATTTAAAATTGAAATCTTTCAATTTATGTACAGCAATAAAAATGCTTTTTGATATATTATCTGGATTGGAATATCTTTCAACTGAGTCTTTCACAGTTGAGGTGAGTTATCGTTTAAGCTTTATTTTTTCTGAAAAAAATATTTTACCTTGCTTGAAATGGTGTCTAGCGATCAGTTCAACTTTAAGACGAGCTGCGAAATAAAAAATTACAATTTGGTTCTATCCACCCATATTTTATGACGTTCATAGACTCTCTTATTTGTACCAAAACTAATCTGTTTAGAAACTAATCTCTAAATGGGGTAGTTACTTCATCTGTGGAAATTTATCTTTACGCGCAGTCATACTCAATAATAAATAATTTATTTAACCAAAATAATAGTAGCGGAGACAATAATCTACTTTGTATTCGTACACATTGAACCGATATCCATGCTGAAAATTCCACACTTGTACTGAAAATACGGTGTGGAATCAAGCTGTAAATCAAAAAAAAATATAGGAAAAAACCTTTATCAATTTGCTTGAGAAAATGTCAAAATGGTAATGGAGTGTTGAATGACTGCGAAACCAAATCCTGCATGGTGGCATCTCTTAAAGCACTGTTCCTTACTCAAGAATGTCCATTTTATGATTTAGCACAGTTATGTAACATCTACTTTGTGCTAATTTGCCTCTACTGTTTTTTTTCAACAGACGTCGATTGTTGAAGAAACCTGAGTTTAAATCACTAACTTTTTCGTATACTCTCCCAGTGAACATCAATCTTTAAATTTAAGTTGATAACAGAAAGTTTCACTGACATTTATACAAAGGACCTTAAATTGGTGTAGAGGACATTTGAAAGTTCACGGTTTACTCTCCCCCTAAAAAATGTTTGTATGAAAGTAACTTATAACGGGGAGACCAATAGTAAGGTTTTAAGACAGAGATTAAATTCTGCCCTCCATAAAACTTACCATGAAACCTGGATATAAATCGTCAAGAAAAAGTGAAAAGACATGCTCTACTATAAATCCTAATATTTAGTAAGTGAATAGGTCACATCACATATTACACAACAGTTTCAACGTGTGTGTGGACACACTTGCTTATGAAAGAGTAATGGCATCTTGCACATCAAGGTGAGGAATGATATACCCGAATGGTTTAAAAACACTTGATCTCTGAGACGTTGATGAAAGCAGCTAGAAGGCTACTGGCTTCGTTAGTAGCAAAATACATTTGAATAAAGAAAGAACAAAGGTTTGTGCAGAATAATGAAGGTACCATCCTTTATTTCTTCAGTTTCTCATCTAAATTTCTTAAACGATCTAAGTGCTTTGAACTAGTGGTATTTAAAGATTGTGACAAGGTTAATGAAACATTATTCTGTTTACCAAAAGTCATATTATAAGCAAAGTCATCACGATTCCATTAGAAATGAACTGCTGATAAAGCCATCTAACTGACAGTGAAATATTAGCGATAAAATTTCAAATGTCAATGAACATGAAATAAAATTTTCATCATTTTGCATGTTTATGAGAATACGCTTACAATGTTAATAGTCAGCTGACAGTAAATTACGCTTCATACTCATTAGGAAAAGAATATATTCAGCCTTTAGGTGATGTGTGTATTTTCAGATTTGATAAATAGATGAGTTTTGGACGATTAGCAGTTTTTTAGGAAAGGTTTGCTGACTAGGGAAAACCTCTGAAAGATACATCGGTGATTACAGACACACTTGTCTGGAGTATTAATAAAATCTCAGTCCCTATAAGTCATTGTTTACAGATGTTAAAGACGAGGAATTTTTCGGATTTCAGGAAAGAAAAAGTTGTAAATCACATGTATTAGATAGTTGAAGACAATCGGCAGGAAGCCTTGGACATAGGTCTCGTGCTAGCTGGCACTCATCAGCAAGGCGTATATACAACCTCTAAGGAACTCATGTCCCTTCTGAGATTCAAACCCGCATCACCCAGTGCCACAGTCAAAGACTTTACCACTTAGCTATTCAGGCTCGCGACTGACCTCCTGTTGGACTGTATTAGACACTAGTCAATAACTAGTTTCCAATCAAAAAATCACATATGTATTGCACAGACTTAAATGAATAATAGTGTTACAATAAAAGGAAAAGGGATAGTAAACTCAGCAGCACACACAGACCGGATGAACAGTAGAACCAACTTTCAGAGATGCCAATGAAATACACGCGTCAGACAGTCTAGAAAGCATTAAAAAGTCCAAATTGATGCTTCAAGGAGATTTTTTAAAATATACTTCAGTGATACAAGGTAACGTTTCTTCCCCAGGCAGCGCCTAATTTATTGGAGTCAGTGTTTATTATACATATCAAATTCGACTAAAAGCTTCATTTAACACAATTTTACCACTCGTATTCTTTATTTACATTGAGTCCTACTGAGATTATACGAAATATCTTTTAACTGAACCGAGAAGTCAAAATGCAAATGCGATTATCTAGGAAGCATATGATCGCCAGTAATTCAGTAACTTATTCAACAATTAGTAGACTCAAATTCGTCAAATTAGAAATGCATACCTTAGACAATAAAAGAGTCCATAGGATGCCAACGTTGATTTAAAAAAATATATTTGTATAAAATACACAAAGGTATGTTTATGTTGGTTAATGTCTCATTTTAATTTTCTCTTTGTTGTCTACTTTAGAATTTTACAGGTTCTTCTGTCTTGTTGGATAGTTGTTATAACTGTAAAATCAGGATTAGGTTAACTTCAGTATTAGATGCCAATGAAGTGATCAAATGTCAAAAGAAATATCAAACCAATAAAGCTTTCTTTCAACCACTCTTAGTAAGTATGTGTAACAATTTTTGTGGGTTTTTTAGATTCGTAGGGATTTAACCGACTTCAATGTGAATTTTATCAAAAGTAACAAACAGTAATAAGGAGGCCTTTAATTTTTTTCTGCTATCGTATTTTAGCGAAGTGCAGTTGTAGATCAACTTGTCTTTGCAAACTGTTCATAGTTTATTTACGACTTTATAATCTAGTGCAACAATGGAAGCGTAAATCCGTTAAAAGGTTTACTATAGAATCATTGAGGATCAACAACTTTTGTGATTCCAGTAGATGAAAGAAATCTTGATCATATTGACTGTTACTGGCACACGTGTCTATGGAAAAATAGTTATATAAATTCACATATTTAGGCGTTATCTTCACATGTAATTCTACAGAAACTGTTAAAATAAGAATTGTTTTCTAACAATACTTCATGTGAGAACCTAATCACCTAACTTCAATGGTCATTGGGTTCAAACAGTTGAAGCTACTATTTAGACATAATTACCCTGCGAATGTTTAGTTAAATTTCATAGTGACACGTAACAATTAATGTCTGTGAAAAGTTTGTGCATTGTGGAATAGTCACTTATAATTACTGTATTATCATTCACCTGAGTAGAATATTTTGCTTCAACATCTCCATTTTATCCTGTTGCTGCGGTTGTCTCTAGCTGGCTCCATGATAACCCACAAAATCTCATCTCCTTCTCAAACGACCTCCTTCGTGTCGATATCGAAGCAACGCTGTACTCGTTGTTTACCACTGAAATTTCGCTTGAGGCCCTGATTCATGTTGTCACTCAGTGACCTTGGCGTGTGTCCGATCCATCTTCATTTTATTCTACATATCTGTTGGGCGATAGGTTGTTGGTTGATTTGTTACCAGATTTTCTTGTCCCTAATTCTTTCTGGTCATTTGCTCTTCATTATTGAGCCAGGTAAGGCAGGTATTTATGGAATTCTGAAGCTGGCTGTTGGGAATGCTTTACCTGAGGTGCTAAATCTCTGAACCATACTGAACCACTGTTGAATATCCGGATATTTTTACTCATACAGAGTGCATCAGACATCTACAGTGATTCCAAACGTTTTTATTCATTTATATCCACAATAGAACATAGGGCTTCAAGCTAGAGGCTTGAAGTTTCAGTAGCAAAGGTATCTATTTTTACGGGTTGGGTTTGCTAGCCCCATGTCCAACCTGCCGTCATTACCAGTCTTTTCACCGGCTTAGTGAGGTAAAAGAGTGCGTTGGCCGGGGTCGAGCGCCAAACCACCTGCGTGGTTGGCGAGCATTTCACCTCTGTGCCACCGACTCACCGACTCCAGACTAATGAATGATAATTACAATATTCACCTCTTAATTCCATATTATTGATATCGCTGCTCTGTTTAAGTATGTTGAAGGCTATTTTGAGCAAGCAGAAAGTTGTTTTGGTTAAGTTTGGAAGTTAAGATTCATAGCCAATATACCGTCCAACACAAATCTGAACTCTTTAGTTCTTCAGTGAGCGTGACAAACAGGACTTGTGCAGTAGATACAAAAGAATAAGAGGTTAAGGTTTCTGTGAGTAAAGTTTGTATTTTTTAAAAAGTGCAACATACATTCATTAAAAAAAAAGAGTAAAACACATTAATCAAGCCACAGCAATGAATGTAGTAATCACATATCAAAAATAATGATGGACTACAATCCAGGATAATTACATACCATATATGGTAAAAGGGGAATCCACATCTTGACACAGAGGTCAATCATCCAGTATCATTATAGTGTATCTTTTTTGCCTATGGATTAAGCGTGGTTGTATGCCGCGAAAGTATTCTGTAGAAGTCATATATTCGGTAACTTTTGACTACTTTAGCCACGCATATATAGTTGATAGGCAGTCATTTTATTTGAAGAGTATATTTTGTAAGCTAGTCATAATACTTCTTAACTGCAGGATGTAGAGCGAATGTAGAACTAAACTAAGTCTCACAAAACCCCTTTATTTTGTTAACTATAGAAATCAGCGTTTTCCATTCCCAAACAGTTTGTGCCTTTCGTGAAAAACTAGCTGCTTAGCATTGGTCTTAATTCTTGTAAGTAGTATAATTAGGTCATTTTTTCTGTGTTCTGTTTATATTATTCTCTCCTCATATATATATGCATATTACTTACTGACGAGATTAATTTGTTTTGAATACTCACCAAAATTAATGGATAAATTGATTTGTAATTAGATGATACGTGGCTAAATATATCTGAAATTGTACATCAAGGTGCGCCGTTTATAATGCATAACTAAAACTTTAATTGCTGAGGGTTTGAATGAATATTTTTCAACTTTCGTTGTTATGCATTTTCATGTAAATTATGTTATAATGTACTTTCACAGCTAAACAATGAATTCGCGCGCGAAGACTTTCGCAGACAAGATGAACAACAGCAACTCGAAAGGACTATTATGAACACAGAGTTGAGTGGGAATCTTCCATATAATTCACAGACATCAATCACTACCAGTAATGGTAGTGTATATGGCATTTATAAAATCATTATAGACCATACAAAAGCTCATAAAGAAGGGCTAAATAAACTGTGTTGTCAGTCTATAAGATCTGAAATACCAGTAGATTGTAAGAATACAGTTGATTATTGTACCACTTCAAATTCATATGCAGCAAGCAGTTATTTAAACAACATTTATTCATTCGGACAGTTATTAGTTGAAATAATTGTGGCTCATTTGATTCTTGAGAATAAACTCAAATTTATGCATTTCTTAAAATTTGAACTTCCGTATAATCAAAGTCATCATTTCTGCCAGTCTCAAATTCAGTGTTATCACAATGTTTGTACATATGGTTTACAAGTTGATCCGAGATGTAATTTAAGCTCAGTAACACCAAGACATTTGTCCTATTGTTTAACATTGCGCCCTTCTCCACCTGCCACTCTCACACTCCATCACTGTCAGGATAAAGACCAACAAAATCGATTCTTACAAATTGATGATCAAGGAAAACAGATTCATTCATCTAAATTAACTTCATCGACTGAGAAATATCTAACATTTCCAAGCATGAAAACATTTGCAAAAGAGCTTCACGGTAAAATAAATAATAATAAAAATACTAATAATGCCGATCAGTTAACAGACTTCAATAGTCCATGTCATAACCATTCCAGTGAAACTGAGAAGAATACCAACAATGAAGAAGACATTGAAATACTTGGACTACTTCGTCAATTGATACATGAACCTTTTATTTCAGAAGAAGTGTACCTTGATTATTTATGCAAATTTCTTCGGACTTTGACACCTCAAACAAATCTAGACAAAGTTTTATTGACTTGCAGACATCCACGTATCCAGTTGAGACCAACTTTCACAGAAATAAGAAAGCGACTGAATTATGCAATGCAAACTGTGACGACTCAGTCAGTAGTGTGTAAATCAAGCAAAACTGTTGTTGACAACCACAGTCATATTCATAATCAGTTGACTAGCTCTATTGAACAGTGAGTAAACGTTTCGCTTGTTTATTTTATTGTACAATTTGTAGACATATTTTACATAATACAGATGAGGTCCAAAAAGTTGTTTATAAAGTCTTGTAATGGTATTGTTATTATAATACAGAATACTGGCTAGTGAAACACCACAGGAATTCAACTTCACTACTAGGAGACTTTGATGCTCAGTGTATTGTGTGCATACTAAGAATGATTGTTATGAAATGACGCTCAACGTCAGACAACAAACTGTTGGTCACTGTACAAAATGACAGTGTCGTATCTATTATCCAAGTGATCATATTGCAGGACTGATTCATAAAACTTCGTCGACACTTTGGCATTAATGATCCAACTGAGCTTTACGCTAATTAAATTGTAGGTAAACATCAAGGATATCCACCGAATAAGTTTTAACTTCATGTACTAAACATTACTTGGTTTGTTTAAGGGCTGGTGAGGTTACATGGTGGCTTACAAACTATTCCACCAAGCGCCCTCAGAAATAATGATAAGAAGAAGAAAATGACAGTTTTATTCTGGATAATATGCTTGCATATAATACAGAATTTGGAGGATATTTCATTGCGGGATTTCCAAGTACAATACTGATTGACATGTTTTCATACAAAACTGACTTGTTCTATCTGTAGAATGATCCAGCTCCCTGTTGTATATTCCCCTCATTTCCTTCAAGAAGTTCACATCAGTAATTTGAAAGCCAGTGAAATTTATGCGTGAGTAGATGTAGTGAGCGAATCACACGAATGGAGAAAAGATTTAATATTATTCTGAAAATCCTCTTTACTCTAAAATTGATGTAAAGAATATACTTCTGAAGATGTAATTTTCTGATTGGAAAGCGTTCCAAATTCCGGATCTTCGTAATACGATTTCAAATGGTTCTTCAGTCTTTGTCTTCAGTGTGATTCGAAGGCAAGATGATGTACAATATTTATACCTTATTTGAGGATCTTCAGTACTACATAGACGCGGCCCCAGCGGGGATCACACCTAGGATATTTTTAGGTTACTAAGATAGCTTTGTAGACCATTTCGCCAACGACTAGGAGTCTAACAACCTGTAAAGTATAACTTATGTCGATTTGAAATATACTGACATCACCACGTAAGTGATTAATTTCAGTGGTTTAATTGAGTGCCGATCCACACATCACTCTATGGATCTACTTTCCACTTGGATAAGGAACTCTGCATTACCATGTCTGCGCTAAGCTTTGTAATCTAGAACTGAATTTTCACTAATAACTATCAGTCAAAAAAGAGTAGAACATTAGTTTGACTGAATAATTAAAAAAGCTGGAATTATTTCATTATCCCACTAACTGTTTTTTTATTGTAGAACTACTGAGGGGGAGAAAAATATTACCATTTTAAACCGCTTTTTTATTTCCTATATTGGTAACATTGAGAAAAATTAGCAATCTAATGAATCAGTGACCATTATGTATACTTTAGTTATTCTGTACTACATATTCTGAACTATTTACTGTTTTCTTTCTTGTTCTTCTCTTTCCCGTTTTCAGGCAGAATGTTATAACAACTAGTCAGACTGAACGAATGACTGACAGACTATCAGAAAGAATATAATACTGAAATCTTATGAACCAAATAAGAGGACGTGAAACATTTGAGAGATCCTCGCAGAAATGGGTTTCCTTTGTATATGGACTATACTATTTATCCTCCTAAAGTAAAACATAAACAGAAATGGAGCAAAATAAATAAAAATCTCATTAGATATTTTGTACAAATGATGTCTCTATTCCTTTTGGTAGAAGTTGAAACTGTCTACCTAAAACCGCATCCAGGATTATTTTTTGTACTATGTATTTTCTATGCGCTGAATCGCTCTTTCAAATATATATATCAGATTGAGTAGTTGCTTTCTTTTAAATCTGATCATAGGAAAGTATGTCGGACAGAACGTGTCTTTGATTTGTGCCTGCTTTGCGGCGACCGACATCATTTGTAAGACTGCGATTCAAAGTATTGTAATGCACTGCATTTAGACAACTGATGTGAAAAGAAGTCAGTCTGAAAACTTCAAAACTATGAATGTCGTCACTTCTTATAACAGTCACTGCAGTTGTATCGTATGCAAAGCTTTCAAAATAGAAAAAACTTCCCTTTTAGACATTTAGAAAGGTAAAGGATTGAGTGAAGAAATACTAACTTTCCAATTAGATCCTCATCTCTGGTTCTACTCTAATATATATATATATATATATGTACATATATAGCATTTTTATTACAGTACACAACAATTTACTAGTCAAGTGGCGATATGTTTGTTAACAATAATTAACCAATATCAGCATGTCATGGTGTTGATAATAACCGAGATAGATTAGCCAAACAACTAAAGGAGAGATATGATTACAACAATGACAATATGTAATTAAAGATGATGTAGTTAGAAAAATAATGAAATAATTTGAACAGTTATAATTTTTAAAGGTTAAGGTGGGGGATCCAAGTGGCCTGGTTTATACATTCATGTAACGATGGCCAAGGTAAGGAATGTGGCTGCGGGAATTGCTTGTGAACACACATATTTGGCTTCTTCAGGTGGATTCCTATATCTCCAGCTGTATGTAGAAGACGAACTCTTCAAAAAAAAGGATTAGTGGGATTGCGATAAATAATTTTAAATGCTATATTAACATCAGCTTTATGCTCACTATCTACAAGGTGTGCTGAAACAGAGCTACAAACAGAGCTTGTCTGTCCCATGCTTCACTATGCCGGATGATGTTCGGAAATACAATGATGAACTCACTTAATAGTGCGCCCAATGCAAAGATGTTGAATTTCTTGAGTAATTCTCCTGCGACACTGTTAACAATTAATTTAATGCAAGAGTATTCTATTACTACCTTTTCTCTGTTTGTATGCAAATACTGCATACCTTCTTTTTTATCAGTTCACTTTTACTTAGAAGCCAAAATCCAGAACTTTTATTCATTTTTTGTAGTGTCATTCAATCATAAGGCTAACACTTGAGCGGCCATCATTAAACGGCAGTAAGATATAGCTCGCATCGCTTTGAACAAGAAGAGTGAAAGCATAGTGTTTGTGATAGTATACTAACTCTTCCTTCCTAAGCTTCAGTTGTTTTCTTTCAAGACGAGTTCGAGGAATTTAGATAAGGTTGATCATAAATGTCAACACTTTATAAGACTATCATTTTGTCTGCAAATTTCGCTGTTTAACAGGTATCAGGTATACTTATTATGGAGAAGTGGCGGTTGACTGCATGAAACTTCAATGAAAGAATGATAGCTCAGAATGTGGGAGAAATGCATCATTATTCCACTGACGGATTTAGAGATAGAAAAGAAATTAAAGCAAATTACATTTGAAATTCGTCTGTCACGTACATGTGAGTCAGTTCTTAGGAAGATTTCCTGAATTCAATATTCCCAGTTTCTCTGAATTTCAAACAACTTCTTCATCCAATCAGAAACACAACGAATGTACGCTACGGATTACAAAACCTCGAAATACATAAAATCAATAAGTCCAAGGGAAATAACACATGACGAGTGGTCATGAACCATTTCATTTGATGACTGATAGACTGAAAAGTGTTGCAAAGCTTTCAAATGAGAAAGGGGAGTGACGTTTCATGTTGATTGGCAAAAGTGTTTAGAGACTGCAAGCACCAAACAAACTGAGATAATCAAGATCCTCGTAGGTCATTCATTTCAAATGGTATGAAGGTTATTAGACATGAATGCAAAATGATTCAGCTTAGATGTAAATACCTTTTGCTGTCATATCACAGTGTTCTGAGTTATTTCGCTTCTTCATTTTGTGCAAGTGAACATCTTTGTCCAGTGTAACAGTTTCACAAACTTTGTCACATATAAGTGCGATGATTATTTTGTCATAGTTTGTAAATCTCTCATCAGAATTTGAATAAGGTATTTAGAGGACCAATTTCGCGAAATGATATCATTTCGTAGTTTCTTTACAACCGCTTTACAACTAACATGGTTTACAATAATAAAATAAAATAAAGATCATGACAATTACTCAGTTAAATAAAAACAAAAGTACATACTAATGACCAATCATATTTAAAAAGGTCGAGTAGTCCATGGCAAGCGAAGGTTGAATTCTACTGCCTTTTGTACACACAGTTTAGGATGCATATGATTAATCCTACAAAGTGCTTCCATCATCTTCAATAATCTTGAATTAGAGTTATGTGAAATAATTGTGAAACAGCCATTAATATTGATTTTGTGACCTGACATTAACAAGCGTTTTGCAATGGATGATGCTGGATTTCTATTCAAATTAATTGGATTTGGATTTTCTATATGTTTTAGTAACCATTTTTGAGCATGTTCTTTTCGACGACATAAGAACATTCCATTGGTCCTACCTGTGTAGGTGTTACTGTAGCTGCAGGTGAACTTGTAGATACAGTTTGAAGTAGAGTCCACAGAATTTCGTCCTTTAATCGTAGGGACAGGGGCCGAAAATGTTCGGCAAGTGAGAAAAAGAGATGCGGCGTAGAATGTGCGATTGATAGCCGACCGAAATCTTTGAGCTGTCAACTACATAATTTGATCACCCTTGAATGGTAGGTTAATTAAGATAGCTTCCTTTGATACAGAATCTGTCTTTTCTAGATGTGGTCTATCCTTGCTGTAACAACTGATAAAGTTTTCTGGATAACTACTAGCTAATAAAACTGAACGTATATGTCGAAGCTCATCCATCAATGTGTCACTCGTGCATTTTTTTCGGGCCCTTGTGAACAAACATTTCACTAGGTAACGTTTATACTGGATAGGAACAAAACCGGTAAAGTGAAGATATCGTCCACTCCATGTCTGCTTACGAAAAATAGCTCTCTGAATCGTTTCATCATCTCTCCTGGTCATTGTAATACCTAGGAAACTGAGTTTGTTATTCAATTCGAGTTCGGAAGTCACTTGGATATTTGGATGAATACGATTAAATAGAGTAATAAAGTTTTCAAAAGATTAATTATTATTCCCAATAATGAGTGTATCATCGACGTAACGTTTATATAGCATAAATTCATCAAAAACACCTGTAGGCTGATGAGACCCTTGGATCACTAGTATCGATACAATTATATAAAATGCAGAAGTCCTAGCTTCTGAGAAACCAGCTTCAGTCTAAATCTTTCTAATCTTATAGAAGATAAGAAGTTGAGTGTGTGGGCGAAATTGGAATTTTTCAAGGAGGAAACAAGTTCACTTCAATGAATTAGCTTACACTATTGACGCGTCCAACAATGATGTAACGATTTGCCTATGTTTCTATTCTATAACAACAAATATTTGCCGTTATATGATTTGTCAATTAACTCAGTAAGTATCAGGTCACAGAAGTGCAAACATGGCTGCCAACCCAAGAGATTGGTTAGCTCCGCAAAAGTTATCAACTTCAACTTATTACTTGTCAAGTGACCCTGGTGACTGGTAATGCTTTCTTTAATAGAATATCAACCATGTAACATTTTACTTTGTGTACTTAATGAGTATCGAAATCTTAAAAGTGACGGATAAGTGTGGCTGCATGGGACTTGTTTCGTTTGTTGCCTCTAATTTATAACAACTTATTACTGTATCTATCATATCTAAGGTCACATAAACCTGCAGGTCAACATAAAGGAAACTGAAGGATATAGTTTTCGCCCACATTTGACATAGCTTAATATGAGAACATGTTCTACACATGGGTTACTTGATATCGCTGAAGTTTTCTCCCTTAAATTTCTCCTGGATGCGGTTATCAAAAAAGACTTCGCCGACTTTCTGAATATACATTTTACACACTTTTTCGATATTATCATCATAGAATTTGACTTGTTACCACCATATGGGTACCACTGTATCAAATTCATTATTCCTATCAAGCTTATTTCTAATGATATTATCCTCGTCTAACATTCTCTCAGATCTATTATGAAAACATTCTAAGTAACTAAATATTTCTTGTGAAGGCATGAGTGTTTGTAAAATAATATTTACCGGCTTAAATCAGTCTTTCTGGTAAGGCAACTATCATGTGTTGTCGCGGATTATCCAATTCCCTTTAGAAAACAATGGAAATAGTCATAACTTGCTTTTATTTATAATTTCAGATAATTGAACTTCCGTAGAACAAAGATAAATCAGGAATATATAAAGGCTAAAATTATCACCTTAGCATTGTATCAACTGACAGGAAGTTAAACGAAAAATAACTCAATTTAAAGGAAGCAATACACACACTCTGTATCTTCAATATGATCGATATCTAATATGATAGAATACATGTAAATCTATTCGTTGGATTACACTAATAACAAATAGTAAGCATAAACGTAGTCAATTTACAAATACACACATATTTTATACATGATTATTTGTTATTCTGACAGAGAATTTGACTTGTGACCAGTGACTACACTACACAGTTGCTTTTGATGTTCCACTAATCTCTAGCATTATTTATTATTTTTGGATGGAATTATGTGGCTATCAATTTGAAAGTATGAGACTGAAATTTCCGTGTCCTTTTACATAAAGTATTTTAATTTTAGAATACCGCTTTTGAATGTTTAAAGAATAATTGAAAAAAAAGCAAAACGTTGAACACTGGCTGCCTATATTGTCTGGACAGATATCTATGTCATATGAAAAAGCCTATCTAAGCTTCCAGCTTGAGATATCATATGTTTATATATGTATATATATACACTGATTCCTTTTATCACCTGTCATAACCACGCTACCTAAATATCATATAAAAATAAATATCTAAAAATAGATAACAATTTTAAAAATCCTGTATTATGAATGAAATTTACAAAGCAATCCATTGTTGTCTGATATAGTT